GCGATTTCGAAGTTAGCAGAGATTTTTTTGGCATCGAAACGCCAGAGTCAAGAGTTGTTCTTTGAAGTCCCGTGCCAGTAGAACGTAAGTTTTTTTGCTCCCCAGGCAAGCCAGTAGAATTAATTTGAATTCGAAAATGTGCAGAATTAATTTTAGAGAATTGGTCAATTCTACGAGAGGTTCTAGAACGAAGGCAACTAGCAAAGAATTGGATCATGATTGGAGAACAAAAATACAGGATTTTCAAAAGTCTTGCACCCTAAAGCTCGCTTTTACTAACTAGCCGAGATTCTCAAGGAATTTTCCGGAAACCAATTACCTCAAAAAAGCGTAAATTAAAAAGCAAACGTTTAGGAATTTCGGAACTTGCAAATTGCGCGAAAAGGTGGTTTGGCTTTAAAAGTCAGGGATAGGCAAGCTAGCAGAAATTTTTTGCAGCAAAAAGATGTCAAATTCACGCTGATGTTTCTATTCTTTGAGCTGAAACCTAGCCTAAACCTAAGACTAAGCCTAAGCCTAATCCTAAAGTGAAAGCTAAAGCATCAGCCTAAAGTTACATCTAAAGTCTAAGCCTAAGCCTAAGCCTGAGCGTAAGCCTAAATCAAACCATAAGCGGAAAACTAATCTAAACTTATACTTTTACGAATTCAAAACAAAACCAACATAGCGAGCCTGATAAGTGCCTCTGCAGACACAAGCCCCAGACCGGGAAATCATATCACATCTCACCACACCAAAATGGGCGGCTCCCGGTGCGCACATGGCGCTGAAAATTAGCCGGGGATCTCTGCCACCGTTCGCGGCGACCCTCGGACCCATTTTTCCTATTTCTTCACAAACTATCTCGAGGTATCAATCTTCGCACCGTGCCCCTAAAAGGAGAGTATCGCCAATCTTCCGCCAGTTTCCGTGGCCGCCCTGATTGATGGGGCGATTTGGAGGGGAAATTTTGAAAAATTTCCCCGGGCTCCGATTTGCGCGCCACGATGCCGTGGCGTCGACCCCAATGACCGCGACCAAACAACTAGACGACCCAAGTCCGGCGTGGGTTGGTTTTGGACGACCATGGAGTTGGTGTTGGATGTGGGTTGCAAATGGATGTATTGAGAGAGTTATAAATAGCTTTGATAAGCGCTGCCTAAGCCCAATCACAAACCTAAGCCGAAGTCTAAGCCTGAGCCCAAGCCTGAGCCTATGCCTGAACGTAAGCCGGGGCTCAGACCCAGGTAGCCTAAACTTTTCAGATGAAAAAAAAACATAGGCCTAAGCCTAGGCCTAACTAACGCCTCACCCTAGTTCTAAACCTAAGCCAAGCCTAAGCCCAATCGAAGCCTGTTCCTAAGCCTAAACCCAAGCCTAAGTTAAGCGGAGGCTCAGCCGAAGCTAAGCCTAAGCAAAAGCCTAGCCCTGGACCTAAACCTAAGTCAAGCTTAAGCCCGTGCCTTTGCCGAAGCCTAAGCAGCCTACGTCTAAGCGTTGAATTAGTCGAATTTTCGAACCGAAAATTTTGCAAGAAAAATAACAAAGATTGTCTTGATTCTGCCCTCGTGCATGCTGAACTTTAAAAAGCACCTCGTGACCCTGTTTGCTCCCCATCCTTGCAGCGAAAAAATGTCTTCCCAAGACTTCCCTCCAGGCAGCTTCAACAAAAGCTTTTCAAACCGTGCTGCGATGTATGAATGACCTTGGCAAGGTGCGCAACGTTTATACGACACCACATGGTCTGGATTGGAAGAGAGAAAGAGAGAGAGAGAGAGAGCCAGAGAGAGAGGGAGAGCGGAAGAATCACTTGGCCAAAAAAGATCAATCAAATGTGATCGCGATAAATAGGAAATGACAGGGAAATCCGTAGAAAAAAACACTGTAGGCGCTGATAAACTGAGCGCCCGATCGGACCATTTATTATCATTTCTCAGCCATTTGCAAACGGGGATAAGTAAAAAACCGTCCCATAAGTTACTTAAAAATCTTATAAAATGGAAATTAAGATTATAACGGAGACCGTGATTTTCTTTGATAAACAGATTTAAAAGGTTAAAAACGAGGCGTTTTGACCTTTCAACAGCTGGCGCCCAAACCGGCGCGAAGGACTTTTTCTCGCATCGTTTCGTTTCCGCCTCAAACCGCCTCCCTTCCCGATCAACCTTTCGATCCAAACTGGCGACCCAAGAAACACACGGCCAGTGTCTGGTGTGTAATAGGTTGTGGTTGGGGCTTAAGGCAACTAGGTCGGGCCCCAGACACCGGAACAGGAATCAAGATGGAGCTCTCTTAAGATGAGAATTTTATAACTTTAGACGCGGAAAAGAATGTTGCTGAAGAACGTGGTTGTGGCTTCAATAAAATTTTAATTTTTCGGGAATTTTATCCTTGTTTGTGTTATTGTTAAGGTACAACTACAGGGTGTCCCAAAAAAAAATCCCCCCTCCCTAGCCGGCCGCAGACGGGTCCGATTTTTACGATTTAGGTATCTATCGAAAGCTCTCGGAAAGGCGAGTCCAGCACGTCTATTCGATTTTCATAATTTGGAAATTTTTCCATCAGTTACTAATGTTTTTGCAGAATGGGCGGATTTTCTGATGTTGTTCTGACCAGGGATTTTACAAAATCGCAATTTAAGGATTTCTACGCGTTTCCCTGGCAACCCAACGACAGCTTTTTGAAAGCCGTTTGCCAAAACACAGCTTGGACAGCGCTTAAACCGGTTAAATTGCGTTTTGAACAAAAAAGTCTGTCCTTTTGGCCTGAAAAATGCCGAAAATTGAGCAAAAAATTCCGACATTTCGCAAATCCGCAAGACGTGCTGGACTCGCCTTCCGAGAGCTATCGATAGATACCAAATCGTAAAATCGGACCCGTCTGCGGCCGGCTAGGGGTTTTTGGGACACCCTGTACAATCTGCCTCAATTACTACGCCTTGAATTCATTACCATCGCGTAAAAGGCCAAACTAGAAAGTCGCATACGGAATAATAGTCAGTAGGATTAGGGCCTGCTACGCAATACAACGCAACGAAAATCAATAGTCAATCCATGGCGTAATCGGTTGCGAGGTGATGCCTCACGCGTTGCTTGTCGCGGGCATGGCAGATCAGTAGGGATTCTATGAGTAACTTAATTGCTGAATCCGTAGGTCCGTCCGTTTTGATAAGCCCTTACGCCATGCCGCAAATTCTCCAAAGTTCTGCCCACATTCAGATTTGTGTCTCATCGGAATTCACGAGTCACCGCAGGCCAAGGGTCGAGGCTGTTGCGGTGCCTTTGAAAATAGGGGAATTCCGCCTATAGGATGATTCATCAAGCCTGATTCGGAAATTACGAGGCCTGATTATCAGGGTTCAAGGCTCAATAAATATTCTAGCCACACCGGTCTCCCAAGGCTCTCCGTTATCACAAGTTCCTCTATGCGCCTGTTGACCGTTTTTGTGGCACTTTTTTCACGCGTCCACTTTCACACCTTGGCGATGCCTCGGTAAGTAATTTTTGACTAGTATATATAGATTTGCTATCATAATATCGAAAAACAAATGTCGAAATCGTGAATGTCGAAATTTCATAATGCCGAAATGCCGTTTTATGCATAAGATTCGATTTCGATCTTTCCTGAAAATCCGCCTATGTAAATTTCGGCAGTCTCAAATTTGACAATATGGAATTTCGGCGCCATGCAAATTCGATATTATGAATTTCGACATTATTAGTTACGGTATTTTGAATGAAACCCGAATCGATATAATTTAGATAAAAGATCGCGGAGCTATTAAAATTAGCAAATTTTTTTTACTTGACTTTGCAGGCACAACACCGAGCCGCCGAGCTACTACAAGCAACTCGCCGGGCTCTACCTCTCCGAACTGAAAGCCTATAAGACGCAAGTCCGGAATTGCGCATTGGCGTGCCCCGGAAATCCGCACGTCACCGAGATGGTTGATTTCCTGCGCGGCTATTCGGACTTTATGATGGCCATCCGGGAGCAGCTCCTAAATTCCTCGCTGCTTCCGTCCACTTCCGCTGCAACACCATCAGGTATATAGGCGGCCTTATTTTAACGTTAAAATCAATGGAGAGTTAGGAAATATGGGTATGCGAAAATTTTTGCGTTACGACGTACAGATTCTATTAATACATAATTTTTTTTAGCTACCATCCCGGACCCGATCTCTGATGACACCGATTTGGCGTTGTACGACTTTGATTTGGACCCTGATACGATGCAAGTCCTTCAGCAGGACCTCGAAGCGACACTCGGCTGCCAATTCACCGAATCGAATCTGGATCCTGAGCCCGAAAACGATCCTCCTGTCAATGCACCAGGGCCAGCGACCACCCCTCGAACGCCTCCGTCTCCGGGAAGACGCGGATTCAGGATGCGCCCGAATGGCGATTTCGGCTCGCCTGTCGATATTGTTTCGATTTCTGCAGATTTTGAAAACCTTAGCATCGAAAATGTCGCACCAGCTGATCCCGGGCCAAAGAATGGATCAGAAATACTATACAATCCGTCGGCTACGATACTAAAATCGTCAGAAAACCTACAAGATGCGATCCCGGTCAACTTTGGCAGAAGGCGGCTGACGAGAAGGATTGGAATTCATTGACTACTGCCTTAAAAGTACAAATAACACCTATTTTATTCGTTGCATACCTGTACATTTTTATGAAAATTAAACTACAGGAATTTTTGAAAATGATCAAACGTTTTTCATCGATGGCTGAATAAATTGCCTTTCGTTTCTGCCTAAATCGCACTGAATAATTTTTGGTTCGGAATGCTTTTGATAAATTTTGAATCATTTTTTAAATATATTTTGTCTATGTTGTATACCTTAAATGAAGGTTAAGGTAGGATGTTGCCACCTATTGATCCCAAGCCATTTTCTGGCGCGAGAAAAACAGGACGGCCGAGTGCCCGCTTGTCAATGTCTTATCAGTGTTTTGGGGATCCATTGACGCGCCTTCTCAGCTTACCTACACTAATTATCGATAAGCTACTTAACTAGGATGAGCGAGTAAGTTACATTTAATAATGCCATAGGTTTAAGGTGGCACGGAGTGCCAACATTAATTAACGCGTAGCATTTGATGAGATGAAAAAACCTTAATTCGTCATTTTCGGTCATTTAGCTTTTCTATAAATAATTATATAGGGTTATATTATGCCAGGACCGCCTTCTAAACCTAAGTAGTGTATTAGTAGCGCGTCAGAAATGTCTAAATTACCCCAACGTTTTATTGTTTTTCTAGGCAGCTGAAGGACCCGTTAAAGTACTACAAGGATCTCGCCAATCTCTACAAGCTCGAGCTGGAATGCTACAAAGAAAGGGTCAGGATATGTGGGGCTGCTTGCCCCATAGATTCTGACGTTCGCAAGATGGTCGAATTTCTAAGTGGTTATTCCGAGCGTATGGTGATTCTCCGCGAGGAACTGAAGAAGGCCGCTATCGTACTTGTTGGAGCTGTTCAGGCGGCACAGGGTTAGTGATAAAGATGGTCATGTTACCAAGGAAGTGATATTTACGATATTAAGAATAGCCGAATATTGCACGTTTCAGACGACGGCCTCCCGGCAATCTCCGAAAACACGGATCTCTACGAGTACCTCGGAATGGGCCAGAACTTCGACGACGTCACCATGCCGTGCCTTCTTGAATTTCAACAGATGCTTGGTCATGAGTTCTTCGACCCCAATCGATACTTACAAAACGCGGAGCCAGTTGGAGCATTTGGCGGGCTCTTTGATGGGACGATGGGGCTTGGGTTTTCAAGCAACCTGGTGTTGGGCCAAGCACGCCACCGTCGAGGTCGATCCCTTGGCCTCCATTATTTCGGGCATTAGCAACATGTTCAACCCAAAGATCCCGGTCAAGTCGGATCCAAAGAAACTGCGCAAAGTGATCGCCTACATGATCCAGAAGGCGCAAGAGAAGAACATGAACGCTACCTAGTGCTCTCTTCCTTTCGCTCGCTATCACTCGCTGCCTCGCTCTTAATCTTGGTCGCTCTCACTTTCTCCCGCTCTTTCGCTCGTGCTCTCTTTCGCTCTCTGAAACCTGCTCTCTCTCACCTCCCCTTTCTCTCTCTCGCTCTCTCTCTCTCTCTCTCTCTCTCTCTCTCTCTCTCTCTCTCTCTCGCTCTTTGCCTTTACACATAAAACGACGTCTGTCGAATACGTGCAGAATAAATTTTTTCTGTCGTCCAGAATGCAAGGAAGCTCATTAAAATGCACCCGATTTTGCCACAGCGCCTCATTTTTAGAACAATCAATTTATTGAATAGCTAGTGGCTTTACAGCTAACCTTTTTTTAATATTTGTTTGTGGACTTGGATGACCTGTTGCTGGTTTGGGATGAAGGGCATGTGGGTTAAACCGTTTTTCACCGACCTAAAAATACGTTAGTAAGTTAGTAAGTTCGTGCTCCAAGCTATCATCTAAAACTCTCAATCGAAAAATCCTAATCGACTTAATAAGCGATGTATGCCCTCGTATACAGAGCACTTGACGACTACGCGCGCCTGTTGACAGTTGGGCTGCTGAAATGCGACACATTGTCGCAAGAGCTAGACTCGATGAAGCGTCTTCCAATGACCAGATTCCGCGTGTATACCATTGGAAAGGCGATGGAAATGGGTGACACGATGATGATGCCCAGGCTTTTTGCGGCTATCCGGCATGGGGATGAGAAGGTGTGTTATATTTGGAGCTTCATTTTACTTGCCGGTACGCTGCTTTTACTCTTTTGATTGCTATCCTCTTTTTGAAAAGGTGCTTTTCAGAAAATGCTCATCTTCTCGCTTCCCTGGCTTCTTGGAGACGTTCAGCTATATTTGATGCAGCATCAGAATAAAGCTAAAGATGAGGAGGAGGAGCTAAAAAACCGACGAGCTTTTTTACGAGGAAGCATGCAGGATCTGGAAAAGTTGCTGAAAAATCAAAAGGAATACGAAATTGGACGTTCGCTTTCACCGGTACGTTCTCTCTCTCTTTCTCGCTCTTGCTCATTCTCGCTCGCTCGCTCTATTTCTCAAGTTGACTCTCTTTTAGGACGCTCGTCATCTCTACAAAAACCGAAGTCACGAAACACTATCGATGAAAAGTGGCTCGTCGGGCTGCCACCTTTTCGACATGTTCGGAATCCTAAGCGAGGATATATTGCCCTATATGGGAGAGCAAAATGGAGATGGACATGGCTGTTGCAGCCATTGCAACAAGAAGAAAGAGCTCATCGAGTTTTGGGAGCAACACCAAGCTGATCAGGGCGATGAGTTGGTTAATGGTAAGAGAGGGAGCGAGAGAGAGAGAGAGAGAGAGAGAGAGAGAGAGAGATAACGTTCAATTTCAGAAGTAACTGCCCTTCTCATCAAATGGCTTGGCCCTGATGGTAAAATCTCCAAGAAAGAACTTTCCAAATGCGACTTCATCAAGTGCAAGGAGTTCGGCATCGACTCTATCGGTTTTCTCGAGTATATACAAGCCTCTGGAGATAATTTGAGCGGAATTTACCACGGCAACCATAGATGCACGATTTCCTGAAGCTCTAATAAATTTCTGACGTAAAGTCTTTGTGATTCCTGAGAATCAGTATGTACAAAAATGCAAAAGTCGTAGCAACAATCAGTCGCTCGGACGCACGTATTGATCCGAAGAAAATGCGCTTATCAGAGATCGGTTATCTGAAATTAGTCGTAGCCGTGTTTCCGTGTACTTGACTAAAAAATTGACAGTTACTTGGCTAAGCGGTCCTTATGAACTTTGGCCAACTGTGAGTCGACTTTTTACCTTTATCCTTTATTAACAACCAAGCGTTGGCGCACACACTCGTAAAAACCCTTACTACGTAACCGGCGATAGCTAGCAGTTCAAAGTAGAGATGTTACGCATTCCGACGCGACGTCGGGATGACATGAAAATTAGGAAACGCAAAAAATTGTTTTATCGAGCTCGTTTTGTACTTTGCATCCTAATTTGAATGTTATCCCGACGTCGAGTTGGTACGCGTAACATCGCTAATTCAAAGCCACGATTACCACGCGCTGGTTTCAGCGAAACACACCCGGATTATCGCATCGAGAGCAGCTATGTGTTGTCGCCAACCACGGCCGAAAGGGTCGAAATTTTTCGGCAACAAGTCCGCGCTAATAACCTGCCGGTACTTACGGTTCGCGAAGCACTTGATGATCGCGAGTTTCCGACCATCATCGCGCTGATGAGTCGCGGGTTGACGACCGCTGAACCGGAAGAGGTACGAATTGATGGTACCGGCACTATGCTCGTGCTTCGGGTCACAGCCCCGGCAAAAATCAGGGACTTTTCAGGTGGTGGTCGACCTGAGTTTCCTGGAAATCCGACAGCATTTCGAGGCGGCGCAGCAGCGTTTGGAATGGGCCGAGAGACAGAAATTTGCGCTACTCAAGCATTTCAAGGCGTTGTTGATGGAATCTCAGCCGCATTTGGATGCAAACCGAATCGCGCAGTTGGAGGTGGGTGATTTTAAAATTGCACAAAACAAAGCTTTTAGGGCTTCGCCTTGCCAAATCCAGCCAATAGAGAATTTTCAGGGCTTCATCGGGCAAATGGACGCTGGGCCGCTAGCGCCGGTGCCTGGAATTAACCAGCAAAATCCCCCCACCTGGGGGCCGGCGCCGCCCCATGATTCGTCACCGCTTTGTGGTTCCCCCTAGGGCTCAAGCACCTCAAGAAAACGACACAGATGCTTCGGTTCCGCCACAAAATCGTCAACCTGCACCTCCACCGCTCGCTGACGGAGCGGCACCAAATCCCGCCGAGAATAGCGACGCTCCTCCGAATCCGGATTTCCCGCAACCAACCGCGCCAACAGCTTCAAAGAATAATTTCCGGTCGCTGGCAATCCCTGCTCCATCTTCAAAGACTCAGAAGCCACTGGACGATATCGCCGAATTGTTCCAAACTATGGGCGTAACAGAAAGTCGAGATGCTGCTTGGAAGCGCCAACAAAAGGAGCTAGAGGCCAAGCGGAAGCTGCAGAAACAAAGGAAGGCCTGCTGCACAATTTCCTAAGCCCGCACCGTGTGGTCCGCACAAATGTTGTAGTACAATATGTATACTATGCAAATAAAGCATCTATTTGAAAAGCTGATTTATCATCTTACGGAAAAACAGTCGGTATTCCGAAAAAGGCAAGGCCTGCGTTTCAAAAAGCATCTGATCGCCGTCTGCTTTATTGATTCTATTTCGGACGGCTTATCGCCAAAAAAAAAACGCATCCGAAATTGTGGTTTATGGCCACGATTTGTCTTTGCAAAGCGGCTGTATTCTAAGTCCGGTTTTGCTGGGCTTCGAAATGAATCCGGATAATTGGCACCTGGGCAACGTGTAAGTTAAGATTCCGCAAGTTGCCACCTGGCATAACAAAATAAAAGAAAAAATTAAACTTCTAATTTTGAGAAAAACGTATTGCCATAAAATCGTCATTGCCTACCTATAAATACGTTTAGCTGATTTCACTACATTCCAGCCCACTCAACAACGATTTTGCGCTCATCGATAGTTTTGTACTGGCCCCAACTACAAATGACCAGCTGGCCGTGCTCCATGACGAAATCCGAGCCAAAAATCACAACATTTTCACGATTTCTGACTTATGTCATCAACGATACGATCTCCCTACCATAATATTGGAAATTCAACAATCGTGTGCCACTGGAACTGAAAAGGTGGGATCGATAATTTAGCCCTCGGGCAAACGAGTGGAATTTCAGTACATGCTCGACCTGACCTTTGACCAATTCTATCGACAACTTGACGAAATCCAAACTGATGCAACAAGGGAGCAGCGAAAAGCGAACGCGCGGATAAAACGGCTCGAGATGGAGAATGCATTCTTTTTCGAGCAATTCAAGCACGTCGTCAGAACCTTTTGCACGCGGGTGGTTGCAGAGCAGCACATCGCCCGACTTGTGGTAAGATTTTGTTGATGTTGCGCCACATTTGCATAGTTTTTAGGGTTACTCCGAAGTCGTGCGTCAACTTGACCAGGACGCGCAGCCACCAGCAAATCGTTGTACGCCCTGGGTACCGGAAACGGAAACGGAAACGGGCGAATCTGGCTATCGGACAAATATCTCAACAAATACACTCGCTGATGTGGAACTATTCGATCATCGGCAAAGCTGGTTAAATACCGGGGAAGCGATAGAGCAGTCGGCGGAGATTAGCGGAGATTCGGCATGGGGTGCTGAATCGGGAAATCACGAAAGTTTTATGCCCACAGACGTACCCGCTGCCAAACCTGTATCTCCTGTGGCACGGGGCGGCGACCACAATGATGATATAAAACCTATACAAACCGCCGTAGGCCGAAAACGGCACATCAAATTAGCGAAGCGGCCCGAGCCACAAACTCCGTCCCAGAAGTCTTGGCCTTCGCCCCGACGGCCCCACCTACACAATATCCGCCCATGGTCTTTCGGCTCTGATACAAATTCATACGGTGGCTCACCATCCATTCGCCAAGCTCTTGCTCGTCGCGTCGCTCGATTTCTTGGTGCTACAGCTGCAACTTCAACGTCTGATGCATCCGATGATGGCGTTGCCGAGTTGTTTCAAACCCTGGGAATCAGTGAAAATCACGAGGAAATTTGGCAGCGTCCGGAGACAAGGCAGGGTCAATTGGAGAAGCTGAAAGCTGAAACTCCGACCAAATCCAAATGTGTGTTTTCCTGAATCGAAAACAAACGTCAGCCCCTTTGAATATTGAACAGCTTATTCCAAAATTAGAGTAAAAGAATGCACAACTAAAGAATAAATCGAGTTCATTGCCATTATTATGTGTCTTTTGTTGATACTACTAAACAAGCCTCCTACATTGAAAAAAACAATTGCGCGTAGCTAGAACGGCGGCGGCGGGCGCCTGCTGACTAAAAAGCATCTGTTTGTCGCCTGCCCTATTGATTCCATTTCGGATGGCTTATCGCAAAAAAACGGGTGCGAAATTTTGGTTTATGACCGCGATTTGTCTTTGGAAAGCGGATGTATTCTAAATGCTGTTTTGCTAGCTGCTAAATGAATCCGGAGAACTGGCATTTGGGCAACGTGTGAGTGTTTTTTAGACTGCGCTCTTAATTCTTCCAAGTTACCTAGCAAACAATGCCAACTTTTAGCCCGCTCAACAACGATTTTTCGCTCATCGAAAGTTTTGTGTTGGCCCCAACAACAGATGGCCAGCTGGCCGCGCTTCATGACCAAATCCGAGCCAAGGGGCGAAATATCTATACGATTTCGGACCTCTGTCGTCAACGCTATCCTCTTCCCACGATAATTCTTGAAGTTCAACAATCATGTGTCACTGGAATTGAAATGGTGAGGGGATATTTCCGTGGTAACGCATAAGTGTAAAATTTCAGTACATGCTGGACCTGAGTTTGGGTAGCTTCTATCAGCAACTCAACGATTTGCGAGCTGAAGCTGCAAGGGCCCAGAATCAGAAGGCCGAGCTCATAAGACGTATGGAGCTGGAGTGTAAATACTTCCTGGACGAGTTCAAGTTTCTCGCCAGAACGCACTACACGTCCGAGAGGGCTGAGCAGCACATCGCTCGTTTGGAGGTGAAAACGTTATAATTCTTAGGGCTTTGGGCTTCCACAAGACCTGCTTCGCCGGACCTCACATAGCCCCGCTCGAAGCATTAGCGTTTTTATTTACGGACAGATGGAATGTTTACGACCCGATTATTGTTGTATTATAAGGGGGAATTTTTCAGAATGCATAAAATCAGTATGTTTAAAATCGGAATGCCTAAATTTCGTAATGTCTAAACCCAAATGCATAAATTTCAGAATGTGTAAATGTCAGAATGTATAAATTTTGGAAAGCCGAAATTTCACGAGGTAGATTCAGTGCTTGGATTAGGATTAGCACGGACAAACATTTAGCCATTCCGAAATTTGTGCGTTCCGAGAGCTATGCCGTTTTGTTATACATTTATCCATTTTGCATTTTAAAGATGTTGAAATTTAAGCATTCTGAAAGTTTAAACATTCTAATTTCATGCGTTCTGAATTCAGGCCTTGCGATTTTATGCTTCTGATAGTAATTCATTATAGGGCTACTCCGAAGTCATCCGCCAATTTGGTCTACCGGCTCGGCTCAATATTGTAGACGGCCTCATGGATTTAACCGACCGTCGCTCAACCTTTAATGAATATGACTGTAATAGTGCCATCGGCAGCCCGGGGAGTGTTTCTAGCCAAAAGAAGACGATTTCCGACAAAACATATGTTTACAAAAAGCCACAAGGGCGCGGTAAAACGCTTCAAAGGTCGGTGAAGGCCAGTTCTTCGAGGAGCGATGATCTCGAGTTACTTCCAGCGCCATCTTTTTCTTCTTGGATTTGTGACGAAACAGATGCTGCCCGGGCTCATGCCCTCACGCTTCCTGGCTCCAGCAAGGGCCTGGAGATCCCGATGGATAGCTCCCAGGAACTGATTCCGCATCGCGAGGTCATGTCTCCATCAGACCCCGTTTTCGATGTTATCATCTCTTCAATGACCACTCTGTTGGACCACGACAATTTCTCGATATTACCGAGAAAGCCGATCATTCCGAGCGCTGAACACAGGCCCAAGCTCAATCTCAGCTCGAAAGTGATTTGTTTTGATAGGCCTCTTGCACCTCAGTCCGGTCCACGCATCGGCGAGCCAAGCGCTTCCACTCGTACTCACAATTCAATGCACAAATCTTGGACAGAAATGGATTCAATCGACGCCGCGCTCCAAACGCTTCGAATCAACGAGGAGCCGGGAGTGGCGTCGAGCCAAAACGAAGTGCAAACAAAAAGCGAGCAGAAACGAGATTTGTGTGGAATTTCGTGATAATATTTGAATTTTGTTGAAGTGTAATAAATACGCACTCTCTAGATCTCGAAATAGGCACTGGCACTGAAAAATAAAACGGCAATATGCATGGCAGTATCTAGAACTGCTACCAAATATTTTATGGTCAACCGCTTCAAATAAGTGAGCGCTGACATTAGCCCATCCCACTCCCTTATTGATCGCCCGGCCGTCCATTCCTGCTTATCACAAATGGTCCGGTGACAAATTTTGCCTTGTTCTACACGTTGTCTTTCCTAAAAATTGCATTTACTACAATAAGCCGCAACAATGAATCCCGAAAATAAGTGTATGGGCCAGATGTAAGTTCATTTTGTATTTTTGTAATAAAAGTATTGTTTTTCACTTATCAGGCTAACCGTTCTGGAGCATTTAAAACAAGTTGCTTTGGGTCGTCAAAAGTGGCTTAAATTCACCAAAATCCTGTCTTAAAGCAACAAAGTAAAAGAATTTCCGCCGCCAGGAGTTGAACCCTTTCTGCGTTTTTGTGTCTGCGCCTCTCTCATTTCCCCGCTATCTAATAGCTGTCGTAATGAAGGACTGTTCATGCGCGGTATCGCTACGTCCATAGTTTCCCAAGGTACCGTCCCAAGCTCTAAAAGTTGAACTAGCCCTTCAAATCCACAAAAATTTTATATTTCAGCCCGCTCAGCAACGAATTTTCTGTCGAAAAATGTTGCGTTCTGGCCCAGACGACGTTGGGAGATTTGCAGCGGCTTCATGCTCAAATTCGATCCGGTGGCTGTAATTTGTACACAATTTCTGATCTCTGCAATGAGCGCTACGATCTGCCTACGATAATTATTGAGATGAATCAATTGTGCGAGGACAAGACGATACGAAATGTAAGCCTTTAGGGTCATTTGCTCCTATGAGCATCGTTTACACCATCAAAAGCAGGCTTATGAAAGTCATTGGCAAAACAAAAGTCATTTTATGCATTTGTCAAAGGATTTATTTTTTCTTACAAGCAATTTTAAGAAATCTACAATTAAAGTAAACTATTATGCAATTTCAGTACATGCTCGACCTCAGCATCGATGAAGTCCATCATCAACTGGACATTTTGCGAAACGATGCGGAGACCTCTAGACAACAAGCCGAGTCGATCCGAAATTTAATGCAGCTGGAGAACGACTATTTCTTGAAGGAGTTCAGGGAGTTAGCAAGAGCCACGCTGCCTCCTTTGATCGCCGACCAGCAAATTGCCAAATTAGAGGTAAGGAACTAGATATTGCTATCTCTCACTGTTTCTCTCTCTCTCGCTCTCTCTCCGCCCTGGTCTCTCAATTTTTGGACCTAAACGTCCCACAAGTGCTATAATACAGTATTTTCAGGGTTATTCCGCTGCCATCCGCAACTACGATCCATCCGCTCCCCAAATCGCTAACTACAACTACAACAATCAGCCAATTCCAATCATGGACTATCAACCACCGCCTCATCCCGTTTATCAAGCTCCCAGCTCCAGCGACATGGAGAGCTCTCCGATGAGTGACTATGGACAACCGACCCAGCCGGGAGTTTCGTATGCTGATGCGCGACCTTACGGAAATAACCCAAACCCAACGATTGGGATGGGTCACTATGTACAACCAGTTCCGATGGCAACTCCTGCAAGTCGATTCCGGACCCTAGCGGTCCCAGCTGGCCCTAAAAAGCCGCCGAGGCCGGTAGATGATGTGGCTGAATTATTTCAAACACTGGGAATTACCGAGAGCCCGGATGCGGGGTGGAAACGGCGTCAGAAGGAGGAGGAGAAGCGGAAGAAGCTCGAAAGGCAGAAGAAGGCATGCTGTGTAGTCTCATAATGCAATATTAATTTCAAAAAGTAATAAATTGTATGTATTTCGTAGGCTGCATTAAATAAGATGCATTGAATTACCATGGTCTATCAAGAAAAGCGAGTGACAAAACGGAACAAGAAAGAAAGAACGAGAGAAAGAGAGCGAGAGAGTGGCAGAGAGTGGAGATCGTTATTTCGAAAAATCACCTTTTGGAGATTGCCAACTCAGCTTCTTTAAACGTTTGCACGAAGCCAGAAGATGTCTAAAATAAGCTAAAAAAAACATGAACGGAGCAATAATTTCATAACTTGTTGATGGGATTATCGCCTGCTTATGTTAATGCCCATAACACAAAATTCAGTCGAGATAAATTGATAACAGGCCGTAAAAAGGCCAAAACATAAGTCTCACCATGTCCTAACGAATGTAAACAGTAATCTCGCGTCATTCAAAAGGCACACAACTTATCTCGACAGGACTGATAAGATGCTTTATAAAAAGGCAAGACGAGGAGTGGACAGCACCAGTACTACTACTGTATATTGTGCCAACGTCTCCGGATGAAGTCGCTGGTTCTCTGTATCATTCTTGGTTTGGCATTCGGGCAAACGCCGACGCCGCCAGGCCCCGCCAACAATCCTTCGCTGAAATTGCGGTTGAATCGCCCGGGCTATGACTTCTTAAGGGAGACTGTGCTGAGCTTGGTGGGTTTCAAGGTTGTTTTAAACTTCAAACGCCTAATTTTGTTCAAAATTCATATTTCTGGTTTTGTTAAACGCAGGATGTCCCATTCAAAAACAGCCCCTCTAACTCGACGCAGAAGTATCGGATCGGAATGGTAATCATACCATTCGCAAGCCTGTAAAACCGTTAGTTTGAAAAAATCTTCAAAACTATGTTTTTATATAGACAAGGGATTTTATCGTACATTTCACAACATTAAGGAACGGCCTCTGCATCTAATTAGCCGTAACTTCGGTCGTTTTGCCGGGAAAAATTGAGGCAAATCGACTCATACACAACCACGATAAATCAGAAACGATCGTTCCGATCTGACCCATTTCCATCGAGTTAGCGGGGGGTGTTTTTTATTAGGACACAATGTATAACAGAATTCCTTTTAGATGCAGAAAAACCTGCCGAACATGCCGGTCCCCGACTACGAGCTGAAAAAAGGCAAGGGCGAAATAAAACTTCGCAACATGGTATTGGAAGGCGTGAATCCGCCGAGGTTTGCCCAAATCCAGACGTCAATTTTTTTGAAGCTTCAACTACAACCTGACAACTGACGGAATTTCCATCAAGATGCGTGGCCTGGAACTGTGGGGCCGGGGCAAGTATCAAGCGAAATATCGACAGAACCGTATCATCAAGGTGAGAACGCCTCCGAAAATGATATTCTAAAAATTTGTAAAACCAAAACTTCACAAATTATTTATTTTTGTACCGTTTATTGCGTTCAATTTGTTTTATCAATTTTAGTTCTCAACCAGTGGGGGTGTGAGCGCCGACCTGAAAAACATCTACGCCGATGGCAACGTCAAGGTCAAGCTAGAGGGCGGAAAACCAAAAGTCTTCTTCGAAAATTGCAACGCTGGAACTGAACATGTTCGCTTAGAGTTAGCAATTATTCATCAACAGGCAAAAATTATATATTCAGGTTCCGTGGTAAATTGGACTGGCTGATCAACATTTTCCGAAAGCCACTTGAAGACCTGGCTCGTAAGGCGCTAAACAAAGAGGTATGTACGCGGAGGAGTAAATATACAAATCACCATTTTTACAAATTACTATTTATAAGAAATAAGGCGATGAAATAGATCCATACGAGATGAAAGTCGGAGAAATTAAAGAACAAACGTGCACCTTTTTCAGTCCTGTAAATATCTTCAAAAAGCGATTGGAAACGTCAATGAAAAGCTCGCCTCGATCCCGATGCAGCATGACTTGAAGAATAACTTTAAACTAGACTACGAGTTTATGAAGCTGATCTACGAACCGTAGGTCTTTATTTTTTGAGAGGCAAATATTCGGCTTGATATAAAAAAACCGAAAGTTTCTGAAACCATCGATTTCCTTTAAACTTCAGCGCATTCACTGAAGTCTGGTCGCGCGGCAGCGTGAGTCATGGAAGCGCCAAGTGCTCGATAGAGGCGCAGCCGATGGCATTGAGTATGTTGCTGGAAACTTGTAATTATTTTTAAAAATGCTGCTTTAGCCGATGATTCATCAAAATACATGGCATCGCTGCTTGCTTCGGAGCAACTGGCAGACTGTGCCTTGAATTCCGCTCACACCGCGGGAATTCTGAAGCAGACGATCAGCAAGGACATGTCGAGCGAGTACGCCGGATTTTTGAAGACGGAGTGAGTTTTCTCGAGCGTGAGAGAGAGCGAGTGGGAGAGAGAGCGAGAGACAGAAAGAGATAAAGGAGAGAGAAAGAGAGAGGGTGAGAGAGAGAGAGAGAGAGAGAGAGAGAGAGAGAGAGAGAGAGAGAGAAAATATCTTGTCGTAGTTGCAATGGACGTGTGTGCTTGGGCACGATTTTCCCTGGCCTAGCCGAGCAATACAAAGGGCGATTCGTCGACGTGGTTGCGAGCACAAAATCAACACCTCAGGTACGAGCATGTTGTTGCAAACCCGGAAGTCTTTGCAGCTCGATTTCAAGGAAGGCTACGCTGCTTTCAAAGCCGTGATTGCCCTGAACCTTTATTTGAATCCGATGACCCAAAATTCTACAAGATTGGCTGAGCTCAAGCTCACGACGAGTTCAAAGCTGGAAGTGAAGGTGGAAGAAGCAAAAATATTTGGGCAAATCTCGAATACTACGGTGAACTTGAAGAAGGTTGCATCGACGATTGGAGAGATGGACGAGAAGTGAGTAGATTTTCGTGAAGGTCAGGGGCGCATGAGTTTTAAATTTTTGGGGGAGAATCCAAGTTCTTTCAACTCCGTTGTAGATACACCAAAAACTTCGAGAGCATGATCGCCAATACGGAGGAATTCATATTCAACGTTTTTCTACGCCGTGGCATCATTATTCCGATCTTTAAGGAGGCTGAGCTGGCAATTTCAAGTAAGTACTTGGCTCCCTCTCTCTCACTCTCATCTCTCTCACACTCTCTACTGTCTCTCGCTACTCTAACTCACATTTTCAGACCCGCAAATCACAATCCTGAAGAACGCCGTCCGCGTCGATACCAACTTCGTCCACCGTTAATCGAAGCAATTTCAAGCCCCAAAAAATCGAAGCCACATCACCTCTTCCCCTTTTCGACAGAAATAAATTTTTCTATTGAAATTCATGGCGCACAAAGGGGAGAGAAGCCCAGGCAGACCTACAGTATTCATTCCGCGATGCTACTCTTTCCGGTGCTTCTTGCCCTCGGGTTTCTAGAACACGGAGAGACGGTCCATGATGGCGAGCTAATGTCGATTCATCGATACCCATTTGCGGTATCGATTCGTTATGTTAGTAAGAAAGGGTGAGTTATAGGCAAGGAGGAAAAAAAATACAGTGTGCGAGGAAGAGCGGGAAGAAAAAAATCAAAGGAGAGAGAGAGAGAGAGAGAGAGAGAGAGAGTGAGAGCGAAGAGAGATATGGCACACTGAAAATACCTCATTTAGAGTCTGGAAAACGAGATGTGGTGGCTCGATGATCGGAGATTCTGTCGTGTTAACAGCAGCAAGATGCGTGGTTCAGGATGAGGCGCCCTTCGAGCTGTAGGTGATCCTCAGGGGCCGATGCGATGAAGCTAATAGAATCTAGTCTTCCGTTGCGAAGCCAAAAAGCTGCTTAAAAACCAATTGAAATCTCAAGGCGTTTTCAGTTACCCAAACACCTCCATGTACGTCTTCTGGAATGCCGGAACCGTAACGCCCTGGGGATCAGATGAACGAAATGCGGTGCTCTTTAGCTTTCCAAAAAATCGAAATTATAGTTCAGGAATTATTCGGAATCGATAAGATCATCGTTCACCCTGAGTTCTTTGAAGACCGCACGACTCTGGAGAACGACTTCCACGATGATATCGCCCTATTGACGGTACTGTTTTCGAATCGCTTCAAGACTTCTTGCCTGCCTTGCCTGCCTGCATTGTCTTCACGGACTCTTTAAACTCGCATTTAGGTAAAGAAAGGGGCCAACTTTTCACATGTCGTCACCCCGATCATGATCCCGGATCGGTTCAAGTGGGACGATTGGGAGGGGCCGTTGGAGTTGATGGGATGGGGACGGACTGAGATCGAGAGTAGGGTTTTACGATTCTAAAAGCTTTCCAAAATGGTATTTGCTAGCCTGTTCTTGGTTTTATAACCTCTTTAGAGGGCGGATTCTCAACACCTTATCTCAAAATTATCGCAGCGTTGCTTAACACCCCCAAAATGCGCTTCTAAAGTATGTTTTGCAGCGCCGTGCCGTTGGCGAGATCCAGTTAACGAAAGAGTAAAGAATTTTACCATTTCTAGCCTCGTTAATTCCCGGAAAACCAAAATCACTTTTAGATAACCAGAACGGAAACCTGTACGGCTACGAGGCGGGCCTATTCCCGCAGGACGTTTGCCAGGAACTCTTCGAAACTGAGCTGCCAGACGAGGCCTACTGCATCAGGGCGAACGAGACGCAGACTGGGTCTTGTAAGGTGGGTTGCGGCCCGGGGGCCCGAGGGGGGGGGGGGCAGGTTGCCGGAGCCGCTGGCGGCATACGGTAGCGTAACTTCGCTACCGTATGACAAAACTTGGCTTAGCAACTTTGGAAACGGAGTAGTGCTACGCTGCGGACCAGGTGGGCGTGTGCGTGTAACAGAAGGGTGATAATGATACGTACTTCGGTGCAGTACTGTAACTGTTCCGATCGCAGCTCAGCGTACTTCAGCGTACTAGTGTTTGGTTTTCTGCATTATGGGGGTATCGCTATGTATCGCCCGGTATGATATTGTGATGTGGCGTAAAAGGGCGTAGTGTTACGTACTAAGAAGCAATTTTGCGGTTCCAGTTCGTAGTTCATCGTGCTACACCGTACTACATCTTAGCGTTGCGTACTGTTTACGCACTGCTGCATGTAGCCCCCTTCTTCAATACCTTCTAGGAAGACATCGGCGGCGCGGTAGTGATCATGCATGAGCAGAGAACGATGCTTGTGGGCATGCTGGTGGGGCTGCACCCAGAATCGACTTGCAGCTATCTGCGTGATGAGCCAAGTCGGGCTGCTAGCTTATTTGTTTCATGATATTTTAGTGGTCGTGCTCGACCTCCGCCCCTACTGCGACTTTCTCAAGGAAAACGGGATCAATTGTCTGCCTAACAGAGATCCTGATGATCCGGAAGAGGGTTCCGGCGACGTCCCGTACATCATCATTAATTGAGAAAGATGATAAAGGGATTTATTGTTTTAGTAGCCTATCAAAATCACACAAACGTTATCTTTATCTCTTGTTTTCCATTCCCTCTCTGCCTCTCTCTCTCTCTCTCTCTCTCTCTCTCTCTCTCTCTCTCTCTCCCTCTCTCTCTCTCTCTCTCGCTCGCTAGCTCTCGCTTTCTTGCTCTCTTCGATTGCAATTTTTCAATATAAAAATCTATTTTTGTATTTTCTAATATCAAGAAAGGCTCGTGAATTATTCATGGAAATTTTGAAAGCTGTCTAACCGAATTTTTTTCTTTTCTGCGATTTTCTAGCTATCAAACTCCCAAAAATATGCTGATTTTTATTACGTTCGGGTTATTCTGCATATTGCAGGTTTGTTTAGCTCGAAAACTTTCAATTATATTTATTTTGTAGCCTGTGTTTGGCATCACTGACGGCCAGTCAGAAACCGTAAAGAAGTACTACTTCGCTGCGGCAATTCAGCGATCGTATAATGGGTATATGGATTTTCTTAATAAAATAAGATCAACAATTTCTATCATACAGGACCTGGGTCACCACCTGCAGCGGATCAATCGTTTCGCAGAATCATATTCTAACGTCGGGGCGTTGTGTGCTGGATAACGAGGCGGTTCAGACGGAAAAGTGAGCCTCAGATTCAGACTAGATTATTTAAAAATGAGCCATCTATACCTAAAAGTCTAAAAAGCTGTAAAATTTGAGAATCGGAAAGCAAAAAAGTTTTTAGGTTGGCGCCAAATCACCTACGCGTTTTTGTGGGAACTACGTTTTGGCCAAGAGAGAGGCCAGCCGGAGAAGAAGAAGAAGACGAGGAAGAGGATAATATTATTAGACCGGTCAGTTACCTAGAATCGGTACAATTTTAAGGTATTTAAATAAAAACATTACGTCTTTAATGTCCGTACTGCATTCCCATATCTTTATTAAAAGGATTTTTAGACCCCGTACATGGTCGCAAGGACTATTCTGCACCCGGATCTTCTGAGAAACGCACCAACCGGAGATGTTTATAATGACGTCGCACTTCTGGAGGTATTTTGTAAGCCCAAGCCAAGCCTAAGCTTACGCCTAAGCATGAGCCTAAGCATAAGCTAAGCCTAAGCCTCTTTCAGCTCGAGCGTCCCATCAAATTCTGGATGAACGCGTTGCCAATCTCCGTGGCCGAGCCGTTCAGTTGGGAGAAGATTGAGAAGCCTATAATTGCTATCGGTTGGGGATCGGACGGCAGCGCGCCGGATAGTGTGTTTTTAGTTTTTAGAATCCTTAGCTAACTTTAAAGAGATTTTGCAGTGATTCATTCGATGTCTTATCGTTTCGTTGCATTCCGACGTCCGTAAAACGTAGTATTTAGTCGGAGCGAGCCCAGAGCTTCGCTCAATGGACGCGAATCCCGTCGACCCAACTTCTTGTCAGCCCACGTTTCCGGACATGAAATTTGACGAAACTGTTTTTTGTTTTGCGGGCGTAGAGAAAAAGCATGGGCCTTGTGACGTGAGTTTTACAATCTAAGCGATTTCAAAAGCTTCTCTATTTTTAGGGAGATTTCGGTGGTCCCGTTCTGCTGAAAATGCATAGCTACTGGTACCAGATTGGGCTCGTTTCGAATATTGAGATGAACTGTAGCTATCGTAAGCAGCAGCCAGGTATCTCTCTCTATCTCCGTCTCTCTCTCTCTCTTTCTCTCTCTCTCTCTATCTCTGTCGCTCTCTGCTGCTTATAGTAGTTTCAATTTAGCCCTTGCCGTCGACCTGTCTCAATTTTGCGACTGGCTGGAGCCGATCACACATGCTCCCTGCGTCAAAATCAGATTTTAAAGATTTTGCGTAGGAATAAAGTTGTTGAAATCGCTGACATACATTTCTTCCCCTAAAAGGGAAGTGCAATGGTATAATGGTATGCATACTTCTGACAAAACACAATATGTATTTTTCGTATTGGCTGATATCAGAAAAAGGACGCATTCTAAAAGCTATTTTTTTTATTTTTTTTTAAATCTATTTATACATCTTTCCCACCTTTTTTATTAAAAACAAAGCCTGACGCGATTTTATGAATTATTCATGCCGAACAAATATTAATGCCGATTTTATTAAATCTGAAAGGCCTTGCCATCATTATTTGAAATGATGCCGCCCGGGCTGCTATTTTCTGTATTTTTAGCGCTACAATACGGTGTTTTGGTGGAGGTATGGCGGACCTCAGTTTTGTAAAAATTTCTAATTAAATTCCATCGTGGGCGGCGTCGGGGTCGGCATTCAGAGATATGCATATTCGGTGGCACTACGACGCTATATTGGGAAGTAGGTTTTTTTGGGAAACAAACCCGATTAAAAAGTGAGCCTAAGCCTAAGACTATACCTAAGCCTAAACAAACTTCTCACTTCGCCCTTTTGAGCCAATGGATACACGAATGCATGGGTTCGATAATGAACCAAGAATGGATCCTGACAGCCGGACACTGCGTTGCTAATGAAAATGCGACTCGCGAAGCGTTAGTTTTTGATAATGGTTTCTTAGAAAAACCCTCGCTTTTCCAAAATTCCGGTATTTAACGCTTTCAGTCTTTCACCAGAGCTGTTCTGGATTTTCGCCGGTGCTGATCACCTGACCCCTTTTGGATCACCGGATCGCGATGTGGTAAAAGAAAAATTATTGCGTAATCTAAGGTTTTTGCTAGGCAATCATCAAAGTCGCCAGCATCCACCTGCATCCTGACTTCTATCGCAATCCGGGGAACGCACAGGGCTACGCAAATGACATTGCGTTGCTGAAGGTATATTCGAAAGAATTCCGTTTCATAACTCGTTTTGGTGCTGGAGTGCTAGCGGTGGGACCAATCCTCGCCAGAGACTTCGCAATCCCAATTTCTTTGATTTTTTTTCAAGTCTCCGTGTTTCCCTAACGAAAAATAGACAGTTTTATAGGATTTTATGTCTAGATCAAAAACTCACAAAACCTCAAATTTGCAAGGTTTTATTCCTTTTTAGAAGTTTTTGGAGATCAAATTTAGTAAAACAACAACAAACATTTGATCTAGACACTGTAACACTAAATACGAAATATATAGCAACACCGAGATGCCTAAACACCGCCCGTTTTCTTTAAGCTCAGTCGGCCCCTCGATTATACGATGCGCCGGCAGCAGATTCGCATCCCGGAGAATTTCCGAGCCTGGGACGATCCGTTTCTCACACTCGATATTGCCGGCTGGGGGCGTCTCGGTAAAAAAAGTAAGTTGCTATCTAAAACCTATTTATGTATTGGCATGCACTCTACTATATGTACGTATTTTATTTATTTATCTTCGTTAATAGAGGTTTCCTGGTTTCATACGCGATTTCAGAACGGATGAGCGAGGATTTGCGCATGTATCAAGCCAAAGGTCGACCACTTCAAGAATGTAGCATCAGAGGCTCGCTGGCTGGCCCGAGCATTTGCTATCTCTCCAGCCGTCGCTATAATGCCGGTCCGTGTCACGTGAGTCTTAAAATCCACGAAACCGGCCTCAAAGTGGCTTTCAAAGGAGCTCACAAGCACACGGCTTTTAGGGGGATTCCGGCGCGGCGGTGGCTACCCAGTACAAATCCCAGTGGCTGCAGCTGGGCGTAAATACTAGAGGACGCGTCGATTGTGATTATTCTATCTTCAATCATGGTAACGCCTTATTGTTAGGGCTTTAAGACCGAGTTTCCTGAATTTAGTATATGGCGTCGACGCCACGAAACATTGTGCCTTCTACGAGCAGACGATTGGCAAGCGGATGTGCATCAAACTGGGAAAGATGTGAAAGAATAAATTTGCGAGCACCATCAATCTATCTAAACACACGAAAATAAAACGCTGACAACCCATTTTTCCGCTTCCCCTTTGTTGGATTTTCGATTTTGTTGATCGTCCCCAAAACAGCAACGCATGGCGAGCAGCCGAAACAATGAATCAGAGCGGCGAATTTGGTATAAGGAAGACATTGAAGTGAATTTCTATAGACGACCATGTACCTGCTGCAGGCTTTACTTTTGCTATGTCTTTGCGCAGCGCAAACGGCAAGAAAACTAATTTTAAGGAAAACTCAAAAGTTCAGAACGCAATCGTTGGTGGGCTGGAAGCAGAAGCCGGAGAATATCCGTTTGCGGTCACGCTGCAGGTCTATAACCAAGTGAAAAAGTGGGTTCCAAAAACGCGTCACAAGCGCGTTGCGTCTCGTTGAGCGAAAAACGTGCTACTACAAACTTTCTTCTTTAGAAAATGGCTGACCGTGTGCGCCGGATCGATAATCGATCGGGAATGGGTCCTGGGTGCTGCGAATTGTTTCTACTTTGGGAGCCGTAGAACGTGTTTTTAGCCGCTGTATATTATCCTGTTTAATCTTATTAAGTCCGGCCGATCAGTACCGAATCGTAGCTGGGAGCACCAGAGTAACTTCGACGAGTTCAGACGATGGAATTACGGTCAGAAGAGTGAAGAAGACAGAGGATGAGCGAGCGAGCGAGAGAGAGAGAGAGAGAGAGGGGGCGAGAGGAGAGGGGAGAAGACGACGGAGAGGACGTATTTTAGCAAGTCATCCAAGTCGCCGATGTCGTCATCCACCCGGAAATGAAAGTTGATGACAAACCGAATGACGAACTGGACCTCTTTATCTACAACGAGCTTGCCTTGATCAAGGTCATTTTGTACATTGATCGTAACCAATCTTAGTTGAACAAACCGCTCAAATTCGGGAAATCCGTCCAGAAAATCCTCATCCCATTTCCGGAAAAATCCCTGATCAGCAAGGGAAAGCTGGTTGATGTGATGGCTTGGGGCAAGACGGGGATGGATGGTAGTTTTTGGAATTTCTGTTGCATTTGAGGTTGTTTTTTGTAGTTTATGGCTTTTTTAGAACCCGCTGCCGAGCATCTACGTTATTACCGTACTTCGATCCAGCCCAAGAAACGGTGTGACGATGCCTGGAACTACAAATTCCCCTCGGAAATTATTTGCCTGATGGCAAATCAGTTTAAAGGGGTCTGTAATGTAGGTTTTTCAAGTTTCCAATTAATCTAAAACATTAAATTCAAAGTTAAAGTCTCGAATCATGAATTTTTCGGTTTATAGGGAGACTGGGGCGCCTCAGCTGCCCGGAAAATCCAGCATGAAGGCAAAGAGGTTTGGGTTCAACTCGGGATGCCAACCTGGGGCAGCCTGGACTGTAGATGGGATGACTTTGCGCCAGGTATCTGACCATTTTTTAACTCTCGAAACCTCCCGACAATTCCAGTCGTCGGCATGGACACGACGAAATATTGTGATTTTTACAAAACGACAATTGGACGAGAAATTTGCCAGCGACTTCAGGAAGACTGAATTGGCCTTTCAATAACATTTCCCAGTTTGCATAATTGCTTTGCTCACTCACCCCCCTACACCATTTTTTAGGCGTAATTTTTTGTTAATTCAAACCGAAATAATTCGATGTGCACGATAAATAATTCATGCACAGACCCAGACAGCTATAAATAAGCTGAAAAGTCAATTGAACATTCTATTAAATAAAAATGCAGGCGAAATTGGAAATCTTCTTTGTGCTGGGTGCCCTACTTCAGGTTGTCGTTTCAACTGCCGATAAATGGTTTTTGTGCTGTCTGCCTGACGCTCCCGCTCTCATCCTTACTCTCCGTCTCTCTCTCTCTCTCTCTATCTCTCTCTCTCTGTCTCTCTCTCTCTCGACCTCACTCTCTCCAAAACAATCTAAATTACCTGCCTCTAGCCAGTCGCGAGCGTCGTTGGTGGTAAGGGGGCGTCCGTCGAGACTTACCCGTACTCAGTAGCAATTCGGACCTTCTTGAACCGGTGGGTGATTCGAAGCAAAAAGTTCTAGAAATATCTCTTAGCACTTGGAACACAGTTTGTACTGGGTCAATTATCGACGCAGAGTGGATCTTGACGGCCGGTCACTGTATGTCAAACATTTATTTCGAACGTCAGATGTGAGTTAATCGAAGCTTAAGGCAAAAATTGGTGGTCCTGATCACTTTATAAGTGATCAGGACCACTTTGGCATTCAAGAAAGGTCATCCAAGAGACTTATCGGCCTTTGCTCGTAGGCTTACCATATGAGCGTTTAGCCTGTCGCCAGTGTTTTTCACTGTGTTCGCGGGAGCCAATTACATGGTCCGAATCGGTCCTGGTACTTCAGATTGGGGAGCGGTAAGTTTCAGCTGAGAGAAAGGAGAGAGAGAGAGAGAGCGAGAGAGAGAGAGAGCGAGAGAGAGAGAGACAAAGAGCGGGAGACAGAGGGAGAGAGAGAGAGAGTCAGAAAGCGCCAAAAATCATCTTTCAGCAAATAATACCCGCACAAGAGATCCACCTCCATCCAAATTACGCTCGCAGCAAGCTGGGCGATGCAAGCGCCTATTCCTCAAATGATATAGGCCTGATTAAGGTACTTTAAGGCTTTGGCTTTGGCTTGGGCATAGCTGATCTCTAGGATTATGCACCATTTTGTCGGGATTTTTTGAATACCCTCTAAAAATTGCCATCGCGGCCCATTTCAGCTCACAAGAAACATCACGTGGACGCTGCGCGCGATGCCGATCCAGATCCCGAAGAGGTTCGACTGGGCTAAGCTCGATTTCCCCGCCAGGCCGCTGGAGTTGGCAGCATGGGGGAAGCTGGGCTTTGAAAGTGCGTCAAACACACCTGCCTGGCCACCGATTTTCAGGGCCATACAGCACAAAACTGCGGATGGTACCGCTGCAGATGGGGGAATGTATATGGGAAAACTGGGGCAGCAATACAAAAAATGTGCTCTGCTACTCCGGGCTCCACAACAACCAGACGACATGCACTGCAAGTACTAAAAAGCGTGCCAACAATCTCCCTATCTAGCGGTCCACAGTCATGTCAAATTTTTACGATTTAGGTATCTTTCGAGAGCTCTCAGCGAGCTGAGGAGACCTATTCCTTTTGGTTTTCTGAATTCCCGGATTTTGGCTTGATTTTTGGCATTTCTTATGCCAAAGTTATACGTTTTCTAAAAACCTTGATTTCATCAGCCTAAGCGTCATTGCCGCTATTTTTTTCACAGTGGCTTCCAAAAATATGCCATTGGGTACTTGCAAAAAGCGTGGAAATTGTGGTTTTAGAGAAAAAAATCCATTTGTCGGATGTCTGAAATTTCGGAGCTTCGTAACACGGGGAAGAACATGGCTCCTCAGATCGCCGAGAGCTTTGGATAGACATGTAAATCGTAAAAATCTGCTCGATGGCGGGCGGAAAGCAGGAAATATTTTTCGGGGAAAACTGCTGGGTTTTCGCCGCTTTCGATTTTTGGCACTCCAAAAGAATCCTAAGGACCTCTCATATCAAAGTGCAACGTTTAAACCAAAGCCACGTTAGCGTATTTTTGAATAAAAATGCATTTTTTAATTATTATTTTTTTAAACGAATCGACCATGTTGGTTCGTCTTCAGGGAGATTCTGGCGGCGCCGTCGTGCTTCCTGGGATTCCATGGCTCCAGCTCGGTGTCAATACTAATGGCCCGCCGGACTGCGAACCCGGCCCCGGGAGTAAATTAGGCCTATATTTTTGGAAATTCTGTATTTTAGTACGGGCATATGGCTTCGACGCGACGCTCTACTGTGACTTCTACGAAGCAACCATCGGGAAGCGGATATGCATCACACTGTGAAATGGAAACAGCAATAAAGCGCTTTTGACGCAAGGATTTACCACAGTTTATTGTTGTACATTTGATATTAAAGAACGATCATGAGATTGCGTTTCCAATTTCTTTTAAAAAAATTGCAGTATATGCTAAATTTGGGGTTAAATCCAAACCGAAATCACCCAATATGATACGCGACGAGGCTTGATAAATAATTCATAACCCAACCCAGACAGATATAAAGCTCATAAAAGTGATTTTAAGATGTTATAAAAGCAAAATGCTGGCAAAAATTGGCCTCCTAGTGGTGTTGGGTGCTCTACTTCAGGTTGTGGTTTCAAATGCCGGTGAATGATTTTCTAGCTCTCTCTCACTCTCACTCTCGCTCTCTAGCACTCACTCTCTCTGTCTCTCTCTATCACTCTTTTTCTCTTTCACTCTCACGCTCTCTCCCTCTCATCCTCTCTCCATCCCTCTCACTCTCACGCTCATGCTCACTCTCCGCTAGGTTAAGCTTGGTAGCTGTAGTTTAGTTTCAGCCCGATTAAATGTGCATTTAGCCAACCAGCAGCATCGTAGGTGGGAAGGGCGTATCGGTCGATACTTATACGTACGCTGTAGCTATCCGGGAGTATCGTAATGAGTAAGTATTAGCGTAACAATGATTCATGCATTCGATTTACGGCGTTTTTACTGTTCTTTCCAACTCATTTTTGGTTTATATTCCATACGAGTCGGGTACCTTGATCAGGACACTCTAACCAGGCATTATAGGGCAGCTTCAGCGCGATAGGGTTGCAGAAATCGATTAAATTCTATTCTTCAAAGTTTCTGTATTAAGGGAGTGGTTGACTGTCTGTGGTGGGTCGATCATCGACCGCGAGTGGATCCTGACAGCCGGGCATTGCATAGCGGACGACCACTTCGAGCACAAGCTGTGAGTATAGGCAAAGATTATAATTTTGGAATCCATAACGTCGACATTTTTTGCATGTAAGTATCGATCTTCCGAATTTATCGGATTAAATTTCGACGCAATGTAAAGTAACGCAATGGTGGGTAATAGAAACCAAGGAAACTTTTAGCCTATCACCAGAGCCGTACAGTGTTTTCGTGGGAGGAGATTACATGGTTCCTCATGGGTGCCCGGATGAAGGGGTGGTAGGTTTTAGCTCTAGGAAAAAGAGCTAGAGCGGGAGCGGAGAGAAGGGAGAGGAGAGAGGTGAGAGAGAGAGAGAGAGAGAGAGAGAGAGAGAGAGAGAGGAGAACGAGAGAGATCTTTCAACCGGCTTTCAGCAAATCATACCAGCAAAAGAGTTCCATCTGCATCCAGGATATGTTCGCGAAAAGCCGGGGGACCGTCAAAGCCATACCGTGGACGATATTGGTTTGATTAAGGTTGAATTTTATAGTAATAAATAGCTCTTTCGATTTTCATGAAGATTCCAATAAAAAATTTCCTAATATCGAAGAGTCGCATTTTCAGCTTGCACGCAACATCACTTACACGATGCGCGCAATGCCGATTCACATCCCCAGGCAGTTTGATTGGGCTAAACTGTGGTATTTCCCCTCGAGACCGCTGGAGCTGGCCGGATGGGGGCGACTGGGAGCGGATCGTGCGTGATGAAAAATTCTTCAGAAACGCTAAAATCCGGACTTGAACTCTCGAAAAGCAATTTTTAGGACCAATGGGCCAAAAACTGCGCAGGATCAAAGTGCAAATGCTGGGTTGCTTAACCGACAGGCCGGACGGCACGATCAGGAACGTACTATGCTACAGGGGAGCCAAAGACCACCAGACCTCATGCGAGGCAAGTTCGTTGGGTTCGAAATGTCGCAATCCTGAATTGCATTATGTCAAAATTTACATAGTTGAATCTCCCACGAACAACCCAAATATAAACTATGCGTAAATGTTGCTATTACGAAGCTTCGTGATTATCAAAGCTAGACAATTTAAGCTAGACAATTTCAAATCTCAAGGTTATGACAAGTAGAAATTAGGAAAGTTATATGTTACAAAATTTCGGCATTATAAATTTCGAAATTCTGACATCAGATATTATGAAATTTCGTCCTTATCAGATTTCGCTATTAGAAAATATCGAATTTATGATTTTCGATCGTAAGAAATTTTGAAAGTATCCGACATTGAAATGACCATCAGGATGGCAAATCACATTCCAGTTTTTAGGGAGATTCAGGCAGCGCTGTGGTGCTGCGTGGAATCCAGTGGCTTCAGCTCGGCGTCCATGCTCATGGCCCGTGGAATTGTAGTGCCGGGGAGTGGTGTAAGTTCCAGCGACTTCCGACGCATGCTAATCGCCTCCTAAAAAAGACAGCTTACGATTTTTTATGCAAGAATGGGCATAATGTAGAGAAAGCACATTTTCAAATGACAAAAAATTTTCAAAAGCAAATTTTTCATCGGTAAGTTAGTTATTATTTTTGATTTTTTAATACAATTTTCATAATCCATCTATCTTAGCCTGGGCGGTGGGCTTCGATGCAACTGTCTACTGCGACTTCTTCGAGGAAACCATCGGGCGGAGGATATGCGTTACACTTTGAAACGGGAAAGCTATAATAAATGATTTTAGGCAGGTACATTGTCCTAAATTTTACGAATCCAATCAACCATACATTCCTGAATAATTCATGGAATGGAAGACGTTATAAAGCCTGCCATAAAAGCTTTTTTGATATCCTTCAAATGCGTTGCGAGCTTTTGCTTGCGCTAGGTACCGTCCTCCAGATTACTGTAGCGCGGGAGCTTCCGGTAAAATTGTAAAATATTTTTAAAGGGCGATTCCGGCGCAGCGGTGGCTACCCATTACAAATCGCAGTGGCTGCAACTGGGTGTGAACTAGTGATGGGGTTATTCAAATCAATTCTTGTGTCAAATCTGAGAGCTCAAATCTGAATATTTGAAGACAAAAATTTCAATTTCAAATCGGCGGATTTGATTTGAAATCCCGTGGACGAGTTCAAATCAAATCCTGAGGATTTGATTAAGCTTCCGGTCCTTAATCAAATCTTATGGGGATGCCGGCATGCAAAACATAAAAAAACGCTATGGCCGAGCTGGCGCGAACCGAAAAATGACCTTTATTATGCATGCCATCATAAAATTAGTATCCGCGTAGCTATTGATTTTTTCGACTCTTTTCAAATCCTCGTACAAATCTTGCGATTTGAACTCAAACCTCGAAAGTCCAAATCAAATCGATTTGATTTGAAGTGCTGAAACCTTATTCAAATCAAAGGGCAGATTTGATTAGGCGGATGCAAATTAGATTTGATATTTGAATAATACCATCACTAGTGTGCACACCAGAGGGCGGGTCGATTGTAACTATTCTATCTTCAATCATTGTTATAACTTTCATTTAGGGACTCCTTGGTTTAGTCTATGGCGTCGACGCCACCAAATATTGTGCTTTCTACGAGCAGACGATTGGCAAGCGGATGTGCATCAAACTGGGAAAGATGTGAAAGGATAAATTTGTCAGCACGATCGATCCATCAGATTACTTAGACAATAAAAATTTATTGATATCCGAAAGAGAGATTTGGTGGATGGAAAATGCGCAAAAAGTCGTAAATTACATATGCAATTGCGTTGTAAATCTAGTACTTCTGGTTTGTTTGCAACTGTTAGAGTTTTTGCTTCGTATTCGCTTGTTCCGATTTCGGCATTTGTTGACATAAAAAGTGAGTGTCCGGACACCAGCGACTCCCAGCGAGACGAAACAATGATGCAGCGTTGCGAGTCTTATACAGGAAGAGCATTGAAGTGGATTTTTTCAGACACTATGCATTTTCTGCTGCCATTACTTTTTCTATGCTTTTGGGTTGCGCCGGCGGTGAGGGTATACCAAAATTTTCGAATTATTGCCTAGAATTCGATCGTGGGTGGGCTAGAAGCGAAGCCGGCGATTATCCGTTTGCCGTCACGCTGCAGGTCTATAACCAAGTCAAAAAGTAGGTTTTTAAGAGAAAGCTTTGGTGCGATAAAGAAATGCATCACATCTTGGGTAAAACTTCCCAAACGCTTGTACCTTGAACCTGAAAGGTACCATTAAAAATCCCAGAAAATGGCTCACCGTCTGCGCCGGATCGATAATCGATCGCGAATGGGTCCTCGGAGCTGCGAATTGTTTCTACTTTGGAAGCCGTAGAACGTATTTCTCAGTACTTTGTCCTATTATGACCTTTGCTTTTAAGTCCCGCCGATCAGTACCGAATCGTAGCTGGGAGTACCAGAGTAACTTCGACAAGTACAGACGATGGAATTACGGTTAGAGAGGGACAAAACAAGCGAGAGCGAGAGAGAGAGAGCGAGCGAAAGAGAGGAGTGAGAGACCCAATTTTAGCAAGTCATCCAAGTCGCCGACGTCGTCATCCACCCGGAAATGAAAGTTGATGACAAACCGAATGATGAACTGGACCTCTTTATCTACAACGAGCTTGCATTAATCAAGGTTATTTCGTACTTTTTATCGCAAACAATTTTAGTTGAGCAAACCCCTCAAATTCGGGAAAACAGTCCAGAAGGTTCTCATCCCGTTTCCAGAAAAATCCCTGATCAGCAAGGGAAAGCTGGTTGATGTAATGGCCTGGGGGAAGACAGGCATGGATGGTAGTTTTTGGAATTTCTGTTGCACTTGAGGTTGTTTTTTGTAGTTTAAGGCTTTTTTTAGAACCCGCTGCTGAGCATCTGCGCTATTACCGTGCCTCGATCCAGCCTAAGAAGCGTTGTGATAATGCCTGGAACTATAAATTCCCATCCGAAATCATTTGCCTGATGGCAAATCAGTTTAAAGGCGTTTGTAATGTAGGTTTTCGAGGTTTCCGATTTATCCAAACTTTAAATTTAGCTTTCTAAGTTCCGAATGAACAATTTTTTAGGGAGACTGGGGAGCCGCAGCTGCCCGGAAAATTCAGCATGAAGGCAAAGAGGTTTGGGTGCAACTCGGCATGCCAACTTGGGGCAGTCTAGACTGTAGATGGGATGATTTTGCGCCAGGTATCAAGCAAGCAGAATTCTTTTAGTGTTAAAACATTTCAGTCGTCGGCATGGATACGACGAGATATTGCGACTTCTACAAAAAGACGATCGGCAGGGAGATTTGCCAGCGACTGCAGGAGGATTAAATAGGTCTTTTAAAAGCCTTTCCGCATATTTATTTTTAGCCCTCATCCTTTAGCTCAATTTTGTATGCGAAATTATGTGTTTATTCAAACCGAAATAATTCGACAAGGCCCAATAAATAATTCATATCCAAACCCAGACAGCTATAAAGCATCTCAAAAATGATTTGAGTTATGAAAAAAATGCAGGCGAAATTGACCCACCTGGTCGTGTTGGGTGTTCTACTTCAGGTTGTCGTTTCAAGTATCGGTAGATAATCTCTCCCTCTTCTCTCCTCTCCCACTCTCTCTTTCTCTCTCTCTCACTTTCTCTCGCTTTCTCTCTCCTCTCCTTAGTTAGTACCGAGACATAATGCACTTTCTATACGAAAATACGTGGCTTTTAGCCAGCCAGGAGCATCGTCGGTGGCCATGGTGTATCCGTAGACTCGCATAATTACGCTGTAGCTATCCGGACACGTCGTAATAAGTAAGCCTTTCACATAGCATGCTTCGCCCCTCCCCAAAGCTCAAATACTTTTCGAGCTATAAAAAAATCACCTTCCAGCCGGTGGCTCAACAGTTTGCAGCGGGTCGATCATCGACGCAGAGTGGATCTTGACGGCCGGCCACTGCATCTCCAACATTTTTTGGGAACGCGTGACGTAAGTTGCATCAAACTCAAACCGTTTCGAAGTTTGCCTACCATTCCAAATCAGAAATTAACTCGGGAAGGCCAAATAAGACGCGGATAGCTTTGAATAAATTGCGTACAATATGAGTTGACGACCATGACCATGGCATTGTGCTGATTTGATACAGGGCTTTAAGGGGCATTTGGCCTATTTTTTTGACGCTTCTGACAAGTGGCAAAGCACTTCTGTAAGTCCCTTTAACAGATCAACGTTTAGCCTACCGCCAGAGCTGTTCACTGTATTCGTAGGGGCCGATAACGTGAGGGCGACGCGTGCGGGTTCGACAACACCGGGCGTGGTATGTTTTCACCAGGTGAAGGGAAAGAGTGAGAGAGAGAGCGAGAAAGAGATAGGGAGTGAGAGGGAGAGGGAAAGAAAGCCGGCAAGGGAGATAGAGGGCGAGAGAGATGAGAGAGAGAGAGAGAGAGAGAGAGAGAGAGAGAGAGAGAGAGAGAGAGATAAGAGAGTGAGAAAGTGAGCGGGTTAGAGAGTTAGAGGGAGAAGGAAATAAACCCAGCAAGAGAGAGAAGAGAGGGAGAGATAGAGAGAGCAAGATAGAGAGATCTCCAGCTTTCAGCAAATCATACCAGCAAAAGAGGTCCACCTTCATCCAGAATTCGCTATCAGCAATCCGGGCCCCCAAGCCGGATATGCCATAAATGATATTGGCTTGATTAAGGTATTTTTAACTAGATCGTTGGTCCATTTTATAGTTCGAGACATCCTGTATTGCAGCTCACAACACATATCACGTTCACGATGCAGGCGCTGTCGATCGATATCCCAAAGAATTTCGATTGGGGCAAGCTGGACTTCCCTGACAGACCGTTGGAGCTGGCTGGATGGGGAAAACTGGGCGCGCTTGGTGCGTTGGACAGGAATCTCACATACGCAAAAAGCCCTGTATTTCTGACTTTCGGAACCTGTATAACCTCAGGATACACCATTTGGTTCTAAGTTGGAGGCTCACGTTAGTGGAAAAGTCGGTTCTGGGCTGTCAGCGGTGGGATTTTTAGCGGGGACGGACACCAAATTTTTCAATAGATCTACGGCCTTATAAAAAAAAAACCATTTTATAGCCTTTTACATACTTTTAGACGGAAAAAAAATAGAAAAAATAATAAAAATTTTGAACAATCTTCACTGTTTGGTAAAAAATGTATGAAAAATCACCAAAACGGTCAAAATTCGAAATTTTCAAAGTCTGCTAAATATCCCCCCCCCCCCGCGACCAATCTAGCCCCTCCAGGCCCGATGTCTTTTAGAGCCACATAGCACAGACCTGCGCATGCTACAAGTGCAGATAAAGGAATGCCAAATCGACAGACCGGACAGCACGACGAAAAATTCGCTATGCTACAAGGCGGTCAACAACAGCCAAACGACATGCGGCGCAAGTATTTGAATTGATCACTGCCACAATTAATGACTTGCGCAACATATAGGCTGTCGAGAAAAAGGCTTTTAGCGTTTCACAGTCGGGCCCGATTTTTCCCATTAAGGTATCCATCGAAAGTTCTCGACCAGCTGAGGCGATGGGCTCTCTCTACCGCTTTTCAAAATTGCAAATATGCTACCCGCTTTCCACAATTTTTGTTGCTGAAGTTACACGTTTTCCTGCAAAAACTGGACTTATATGGATGAGGGAGTCCCAGTAGAAGACGGACTGCAAAAAAATGAGCAGAAAAAAAAAATAGGATTATTATCACAGTATAATAGGGCTCAATTTCAAAATATCGAAGATCGTCATATCGAAATTTTGACTGTCGAAATTTCAGAATGTTGGAATCTCATAATTTCGAAATTCGATAATGTCGGCATTCGGAATATTCGGATATTCGTATAAAAGTGATTGTTCAGGGAGATTCTGGCAGCGCCGTGGTGCTTCGCACCGGCTTTCGTTTGTTCCAGCTCGGCATGCACACTAATGGCCCCACGAACTGCATACCCGGCCCAGGGGGTAAATTTTAAAACTTTCTGTTCAGAATTTTTCCTCGTAATCTCTATATTTTCGTGATCCTAGTCGTCTTATACGGGCGCGACGCGACGTTCTACTGCGACTTTTACGAAGAAACCATCGGGCGGAGGATATGCGTTACACTTTGAAGGAAAAAAATTTCAAGGCGGCTCGAGTCTCTCAGATACATATATTTTATGTTTACTCGCTCAGATACATACAAGGATATTCTTGAATAGATACATTTTATGTTAACAAAATTTTTTATGATAATGTTCAACCTTTTTGATGCTAAATTTAGACGAATGTAATACAGGGTGTCCCAAAATTATCCGGACAAAACTGAAAACTGATTTTTCAATTTTTCCGCTGTTTTCGGCCTCCGCATTGTATGTCATAATATTTTTTTGAGGCATTTTCGATGCACCGTGCAAAAAAAATTCTTGGAGAACGCAAAATAGCGTCACAATCGAGCGAAGATCATGTTAAAATTTTTCGCCTCTTAAATAACATAAAAATTGCGGTAAACTTTCAAAATGTGTTCAGGCGTTTTTGTGGGCAAGAAATGACGTTTTCTAGCAAAACGGACCTAACTCCGCCAAGATTCCGACATGGTAATGATCGTTTTTCCCTTTAATACCGATTTCCATCCCATTACTGGGCAAGGTATTTCGATGCTTGCTCGTGCTCAAGCTCCTCAAAAATCAAAGTTAGCTTAATTTAAATCGCTTGTGCATCATCGTTACCGCCAAAAGTTTATGCCTCTAGTCTTTGACAATAATCATATCGCGTTTTTAGGGTTCCTCCAGGGCAAAACCTTTAAGGCAACCGGGGCGGCGCGTACCTCGATTTCAACTTTTTTGCTGGCTATTTTTTTTCTGGTGTAAACCTAGCGTTTTTGGGCCGGCTAAAGTTGACTGGTCATTTCCGAACTCTTCCTGTGGTTTTTTCTTTCGTCCGGTCATGCTGAAGTTTCTTATGGGATCGGAAAGCATGCGCGTTTTCAGCGTTTGCAAGGAGAGAGAAATTTGGTTCGAACTTCTCCAATTTATTCCGAAGAGATATGACGGATTCACGCGCTGTTTTCTTTTTAAGCTTATTAAATACACTTCAACGATTCATAGAAATTAAATTATGGTCTGCAAACACAGGGAAAAAATAGAAAAAACCGCTTTGCAACTTTGTCCGGATAATTTTGGGACACCCTGTAAAACCGCAAACCAATAAATAATTCATACGCTCGAGCACGCTATAAAGCTTCAGAAAAAAATCGTGTGACACTTATTAAGATGGATCTCAAGCTCTTTAGCTCAGTTCTGCTCAGTACTGTACTCCAGCATACTGTAGCGCAGGAGCTTCCGGTACAATTTTAAAATATTATTAAAAAGGTTCTACCAGCCAGCCAACGGCATCGTTGGAGGCATCGGTGCTTCAGTCGAGACCTACACGTACGCTGTAGCAATACGAGCCCAACTCAACAAGTTAGTTAGCTAGCCTACGAGAATTTTTCCACAAAGATCTCTGATAGCTTGCTCTGTGTGCTTAGAAACGTTGTGCTTAAAGTATGCTACAGATACCTTCAATTTTCTCAGGAAATGGACTACCACTTGCGGAGGCTCGATCATCGCTCCGGAATGGATCCTCACGGCAGGGCACTGTTTATCGAAGATCGATAAAAAGCGGGAGGCGTAAGTGGTGCACTCTCCGTCTCTTCTCTCTCTTCCTCTCTCTCTCGCTCTCGCTCTCCCTGTAGCCTCTCATTATTTTTTTTAGACTTCCAACAAACCTCTTCCGCGTCTTCGCAGGTGCCAACCATATGACTGATGGTGGCTCACCGGACCCGGGGGTTGTAGGTTATTACTGTTTGTGATTGCGACATGCGATTACCCAATTTTCTCGTTGCAAGATTTCTAAAAATACCAGGCGTGTTCAGCAAATTATCGAAGCAAAAAAAGTTTCACCTCCATCCATTGTACGCTCGTTCAAAGCCGGGGACTGACGAGTTTTCTTATAATGACATCGGGTTGATTCAGGTAAAAAATTGCGATACTGTATCCGGCCATTTGAAACATAAAGCTGCTCATGACAACAGTTTCGAACCTTTTAAAAATGCGGAAAATCCCGGTTTCGTAAATAAATCAATTCCTAATTTTGTATCTGGATATTTCGAAAGCCACTGAATTAGCTCCGAAAACGTATCAACATCACCAGCCGCGCGATGGCGATCCAAATCCCCGAGAGCTTCGATTGGGATAAGCTTGATTTGCCGCTGGAGTTGGTCGGATGGGGAAGACTGGGTGCAAACGGTATTATTTTGCCTAGATTTTTCATTCCTTACTTTCTATTTCTTATAAGCATCATTAATTTATTATAGCGCCCTACAGTACTGATTTGCGAATGATGACCACGCAGGTGGTACCATGCGGAAAAACCGATCCTAATGGGAATGCGCTGCCGAACTCGATTTGCTACAAGGGGACCAGTTCCAAGGCGCCGTGTTCGGTAAGCCTAAGCCAAGCCTAAGCCAAACGTAAGCTAAGCCTGGCAGCCAAAGTCTAAGTCTATCCCAGGCCTAAGCTTAGCTAACATAAGCCTACGCTAAGCCTAAGCTAGGCCTAAGCTGCGCCTAAGCTAAGCCTAAATTTAAGCCCCATGTAGCCTAAGCAAATGCCCAAGCCAAATCCTCTCCATTCATTTTAGGGTGATTCCGGCGGCGCTGTAGTGCAAGGTGGCAGCAGGTGGCTACAACTTGGTGTCCATACAAATGGTGTTCGTGGTTGTCCGGGCGGCTCGAGATGTAAAACAAATTTTTTTAACCTTAAACATTTGTTTTTTAGCAATTGGTCTCGACGCTACGGCGTACTGTCGCTTTTACGAGAATACTATAGGAAAGCCAATTTGCGTTCGGATTTGAATTCAATTTTTTTGATAAACAAATTGATTTGACAACATCACTACAGTATCCAGACAGACGTCTTGGATTTTACCATATTACGGAAAAAAATTAAATCCCAATTTTCAGTTTATTTTTGGAATTTCAATATCGTAGAAATTGAAACAAATTTCGGAAAATACACTGAATATGAACGATCAAAACCTCCGGGTTTCATTTTATTTTTAGCTTTTCAATAAGTCAAAAATTCGGATAATTTGGAAAATACGCTCGAATATTCATGCTCACATGGATGCTCAAGGGAACGTTTCGATGCCTAGATTTTTTTATCAGTTTTACAAGATGTTACCCAAGCTCCTGTTCTTGCTATTTTTCATTTTTCAAGCTGTCCTCTCGCAGGTCGAAAATAAAGCAGTCTTCCAAGATTTTCTTTAGCCGGAAGCTAGCTCGATCGTGGGCGGTCGTGCCGGTTCCATCGACAAATACCCATTTGCCGTGGCGATTCGATATGTGATGAATGGGTTTGTTAAGGCCGATGCTGGGCAAGATGCCGACACGTTAAATGCCGACATGTTGCCAAAAAATGTCGACGATCAAATCAAGATCGATCCGCGCACAAATACCACCAGGACCTTCTGTGCCTATGATTTAAAGACTCGCTTTTGGCATGTAATCTGTCGGTATTTTTGCACGTCGACATTGTGTCGAAATCCGGCGTAACCGCTCGCTTAGGACATGGCACCACCAGGCGATGGGTTCCATAGTTTCGGAGGAGTGGATTCTGACGTGCGGTCACTGCGTTGCCCGGCACGATCGGCCGCATGAAGCGTAGGTTCTCAGTGCCCGAAAAGTGTCACTTTTGCATGAAGCCTGAGCTTAAACTTAAGCCTAAGCCTAAGACTAAGCGCAGGCCAAAAGCTAAGCCTAAGCCTAAGCCGAAACCGAAGCCTTAGCCTGACTAATCCTAAGCCTCAGCTAATTGTAAGACAAAGCCTAAGCTTAACCCGAAGCCTTAAGCCAAAGCGTAAGCCCAAGGTTAAGCCGAAGTTTAGGCCTAAGTGTAAGGAAGCCGGGGCCTAAGTCTAGGCCTATGCCTAAGCATACTTTCGACATATGTAGAGCATTCGCCGGCCAATTCTTCGTCTTCTCTGGAGCCCAAAAGATGACGCCCAAGGGATCACCCGACCCGACTGCTGTAAGAATTTGAATTTAAATAAATTTTAATGTTTGATTTTTTCATTGTTTTGTTAGGTAGCAATTCAAGTCGACAGCATCTATCTACACCCGCACTTCTATCTCCACGTCGGGACGGCTCAAGTGGAAAATGATATCGCGTTGGTTAAGGTATGCACGTAGCAGAGGAAAAGACGTCAAATTTTTAAGCTATCCCATCCCCTGACGTACGGCGATCGTCGTAAGGCAGTTCAAATCCCGGAAAGGTTCGACTGGGCCCGTGCACAACCTGCCATGGACATTGCCGGATGGGGCAAGGTGGGCGATGTTTGTGAGTTCATTCGGAGGTTGATGTTAAGGGTTAGGCTTCGGCTTAGGCTTAGGCTTGGTTTTGGGTTTCGCTTTGACCTAGCTTAGGCTTAGCTAGGCTTAGCTTAGGCTTGGTTAGGTTTAGGCTAAACGGCTTTCTTTCAGTACCCTACAGCGAAGATCTCCGGATGTACAAAGCTAAATGGGTCCCCTCGTCGAATTGCCATCGTGTCTATAATCTTATCTCGGATGTGGTTTGCTATGAAGCGCCGCGTTTGACTGGACCTTGTGAGGTAACTTACTTTAAGATATAACCATTTTTCTCTCAGCCTTCGCTCTCTCCCGCTCTTTCCCGCCTTCTCCCGCTCTCTCCCGCTCTCTCCCCCGCTCTCCCCGCTCTCTCCCGCTCTCCCCGCTCTCTCCCGCTCTCTCTCCCTGTCTCTCTCGCTCTCTCGCCTGCTATCTATCTCTCGCTCGCTCTCTGCTTTCATGCTGCTCTCATGATCGCTTTAAAAATGTTTTAGGGCGATTCCGGAGCCGCTGCCGTTTATAAGCAGAAAAATAATTGGCTGCAACTGACCGTGCATCGTGGCGGGGCTCCGAGTTGTGATTATGCAAATTTCCGCGTCGGTAGGAATGGTTGAAGCTATTTTCAGTAATTTATCAGCATACGGCATCAACACCAGCGACTACTGCGATTTCTACAAGGCTACGATTGGGAAAGAAATTTGCATTAAGACGTGATAAATTTGCTCCGGTGCTTTTTGCTATCAGAAAATATTAACCAAAAATATAATAAGTAAAAAAGCTATTTTTTTTAGCCTTTTTCTGCGCCATTAAAGTTAAGGAAGCTTGAGGGGGCTCTTTTTGAGGCGTATTTTGATCCTCCACCGTTTGCTTTAGAATTCAAAAGACGAGACAAATAGTTCCTTATGAATTATTCATGTAGTGCAAGAGTTTATTTGGCGAAAATTTCTTCTTTACCGCCACCTCAAAAAATGCTAGACCAAATCCTGTTTTTGGTACTATTATTGCCTGGTTACGGTCTGGCCGAAGAGGTAAACTGGCTTTTTCCACGAATTTCTGCTTCAGCCACCACTAAGTTCCATCGTCAACGGTTTACCAGCCTCCGTTAATACCTACGCATTTGCCGTCGCGATACGGTATATCGAAAACGGGTAGGTTTGCATTAAAGTTGGAGCAAGCTCAAAAATAGCGCTTTGGCTACTCACTTCGTAATGTCGCGTGTCGCAAATGGTGGGTTGCCGGGTGAGGCGTTGTTGTCGCAGCCATACGCGTTGTGTTTCGCGGGCAGGCGTGTTGCGTATCGCGCGTCCGCGACCCGTGTGTTTGTGCGTGGCACGTCGCGGGTAGCGCGTTCGTATATGTGAGTTGCGTGCCGTAGTAGCGCGTTACGTATCTGTGCGTCCGGCGTCGCACGTCTGACCCTGTCACTCTCCCTTTAAGTCAATGGATAGACTTGGCGATGGGCTCGGTCATCGCCCACGAGTGGATCCTCACGTGTGGGCATTGTGTCGCGAACCTAAGGAAGCACAGAGAAGCGTGGGTGGACTTTTTTTGTTCTTTTTTATTGACTTTTTTTGTTTTACGTATTTGAGCGTAGTTGGGCTGCAACGCAGGCCCTGCCCACCTATATCGCCAATAACTCCTTCCGTGCTGTACTCTTACCGGTATGTTTTAGACTGCCGCCCAGCACGATCTTCCTCTTTGCCGGCGCGACACGCCTGACTCCAGGCGGTACACCAGAAGCGTCTGTGGTAGAACGCTCGTCATTTTTCCACCCAAATTTAGCAAATAGTCCAAGCGGCCGAGATCTTTCTGCACCCACAATTCTATCGAGATCTTGAGACCGAGGAATCTGATAACGACATTGCACTCGTCAGGGTAAGCTCGATGATTCGTTTGGTTTAGGCTCGAGTTTGCTAGCTCTGGCTATGATCGCTTGAGTTTTTCTATACCTTTCTGGAGAAGTATGAAAGTAACAAAGCAGCAAAAAATTGTTTTTTTTTGCTTTGTGGCTTTCATACTTCTACAGCTAAGCCAACCGCTGAACTTCACCAAGACAGTCATCCCGATCCTCGTCCCGACGACGTTTGATTGGGTCGCGCAGCAGCCGACCTTCGAAATTGCCGGATGGGGGAGGACGGGAATCATACGTGGGACTCTGGCTGGCGTAGCGTTGAGATAACTTCGGCTCGCTTAGGCTTAGCTTTGGCTTAGCTTAGGCTGGGTTCGGGCGTGCGTTTCAGCTTCTTTATAGAGCCCCCCAGTGAGCAACTGATGATGTACCACGCCCAATGGATCCCACCGACTAACTGCCCTGGTCGGAGGCCAGGCACAGAGACCTGCTACAACGGTGTTGAGGCAAATAGTGGGCCATGCTTGGTAGGTCGCTCTGTCTCTCTCTCCCTCTCTCTCTTTCTCTCTATCTCTCTGGCTCTCTCTATCTCTCTCCCTCCATTTCTCACTTTCTCTCTCTCGCTCCCTCTCTCTGTCTTTCTCGCCACTTACCTACCGAATTCCAGGGCGATTCCGGAGCCGCAGTAGCCGTACGGTACCGTGGTGGTTGGTGGCAGGTGGCCGTGCATCATGTGGGAGAGCGCCGCTGCAAATTTTCCCGATTTCCAACAGGTATAAGACACGCTAACATTCAGGTTTTGCAAAAATTTTTTAGCCTACGGAGTTGACGCGACCGCCTATTGTGACTTTTTTGCACAAACGATGAAGAGACAAGTGTGCCTGGTACCAGAAGAATAATATTTATTCTCACACAAGGTTCACAAAGTCAACTCTTACAGTTTGAGGAATCAGGTGTAAATAGAGTGGTGGAGAGGATAGATAAATAAAGGGAAAATTATGATTAATTGTAAATATTACGAAGATGTGAAAGAGGGGGAATGGAATAGAAGAGTAGAATGACGAGAACACCATTACAGTAGATAGGAGACGTGGATAAGTCGGGAAAGATGATTTTTAACGACTTTAGACGGAATATAATGGCAGTTTGGGGACAAGAATTTAACGGGACATCTACGCGAGAGGAGAAGAAAGCTTTTGACAGAGGTTTTACAGCAGGTATAGGGCTGATTTTGGTTTTGGTTTTAGGACCACGGGTTCTAGAGGGGCAGCAGTAAAGAAAGTATTTTCAGACATATGAGAAGGAATCTTGTGAAAGAGAAAAAAAATGAAAGTCCGCGGTTCTTCTATGGTTCAATGGTTCGAGATTGGATTAAGTACATGCCGAACAATAGGAGACCTACGCGACCGGTAGCATACACGTCGAGCGAAGTCTTTCTGAATTGTTTCTAGAGCAGAAATTTGGAATTTTGCTATGAAAAAATTTTTTAAATATGAAAAAAGCAGCGAACTGCTTTATTTGTCACCTCTACCACATTTGGCGAACAGCTGAAGTTGTCAGTTTTGCAGAGCAACTGCTTGTATCGTTTTGGCACTATAATTTACCGCCGCGAAGCTATTTTTTGCGACGTTCTGCTGTTTAAAAAAAACGACAGGCACATATTTACAGGCAGGGGAGAGCGAGTTTTCTCGCATGGATTTTAGCGTAAGTCATGGGAAGAGAGGCCTGCCTCAATCATCGAAAATGCGTGAAATAAATATGTTATTGCAACCAAAAAAAAAACGCTACACGTCAATCTCTGAATTGGAATAAAAATATTGCAACGTAGCTCACCGTAGTTTTGCTAAAGATAGCACTGTAACGGAATAGTTTGCAAAGCCTTCCCCGCGTATTTTTAGATGCTATAATCGCCGTGATGCAAACCCCCGTTATTGCCTCTGTTGCATAAATATTTATTTATAAAGACGCTGTATTAAACGAAGAATCCTTCCGCATCATCCTTCAAAATGCTACACCACGTCGTATTATTGGTACTGCTGTCGGTACCTTACGGTCTCTCCGAGTCAGAGCCTCCACTGAATTCGATCGTGGGCGGTACGCAAACTACGGTCGATACGTTCGCATTTACCGTCGCGCTGCGGACGCTCGGCAATCGGTAAGCTAGACTAGCTTCACGTAGCGCCTATCCGCGAACAGAGACTGAGAGAGAGAGAGATTGAGTGAGAAGAGCTAGAGAGCCAGAGCGAGAGATAGAAAGAGAGAGAGAGAGAGAGAGAGAGAGAGAGAGAGGGAGGGAGGGAAAAAGAGAGATAGAGAGAGAGGAGAGACTTACCATTATTATTAGGGAATGGACACACCTTGCCATGGGCTCGATAATTGCCCACGACTGGATTCTCACGTGTGGTCACTGCGTAGCAGTCGAAAATTCAACAAAGGAGGCGTTAGTTTTTGATCACCCTGTCCCTCTTTCACTCGCTTGCTGCCTCTCTCACTCTCACTATCTCTCTCACGATATCTCTCTACTACTTTTCAGTATGCCCGCAGACGAGATCTTCATCTTTGCCGGCGGTTCGCGCATGACTAAACATGGATCGCCAGATCCTGGTGTTGTAAGCACTATTCTACTCTTAAAGTGCCTCTTTTCGAGGAGATAATCCAAGCCGAAAGCGTCCACCTACACCCGCAGTATTTCCATGATCACCGCACCAATGAATCGACAAACGACATTGCTTTGGTTAAGGTATCTGCCGATAGGGCCCCTGACACGCTCTTGTTAGCTGAGCAAAAATTTGACCTTCATGGATCGCCGCATCCCGATCAGCATCCCGTGGAGCTTCAACTGGACCGCGAAGTGGCCGTTGGAAATTGCCGGATGGGGCCAGTCGGGTGATAAGAGTGAGATTTTTAACGTCACCAGATAGCGCCTCACCGACCTGCCAGGTTTTGTTTATCTCGGCTCCCTATAGGTGCATAAGGTATGTCAAAATGTTTGTCCTGGTTTGTGGTTTGTCCTGGCGAGAATTTTGGTATATGTTACAACCCGGTAGGAGAATGGCGAGCTGAGATGCAGTCGGCGAGATTTCTGCAGTTGTCCCTTTAAATTTGAATATACGTTAGTTGCCGCGCTTCTTGACTGTCAAGCTAACTTTTTGGCTCTTCTCGCATTTTGCCGTTTGCGATCCCCGTTTCACGTTTCAGAGCCATACAGCGAAAACCTGATGATGTACAAGGCCCAAATGCAACCGATCCAAGGTTGCGTAGACGGCCAGCCAGGCGAGGTGTGCTACGACGGCATCAGGGCAGGGTCGGGTCCCTGCGGGGTAGGTGGAAAAAAGTTTTTGACGTTAGTTAAACGACGTACGAATGCGCATCGCGTGCCGGAAGCGTCATTGGATCCATGAATGGATCGTCACTTTAAGGGATGCGTCACACCTTCCGTTTTAGGGCGATTCTGGAGCCGCAGTCGCCGTACGCTACGACCGAATGTGGTGGCAGCTCGGGGTACATAAGATCGGCCGGCGCGCCTGTGACTATACGCAACTAAGACATGGTACGAAACTTAAGAAATAATTTGTGAAATCCACAATTAGCCTATGGCGTCAACGCATCTGCCTACTGCGACTTCTACCTGCAGACTATCGGACGGAAAATTTGTGTGATATAACCTTGAAGGCTATGACAAAAATAAATATTTTGCGAACATAATCGTGTCCTCGTGTTTTCATAATAAATCAAGCAAACGAAACTACGGCAAAACTGAATCTCGTTAGATTTAAATCCTTGTTTTAAACATTCCGATACCCCGTTTAGAAGCAGCCATCCAAGAATTCAATAAATCCTGATCATTACTTTTCCCCATTCTTCTTTATATAGTTGATGTATTTTTTATTAAAAGAACGCCAGACGCACTTTTATGTATTATTCATACTCAAATTCTATTAAATCCGAAAATCCCAGTTGCATTTATTTCAAATGCTGCCCTGGCTTCTGTTTATTATATTATTAGCTCTGAAATATGGAATTTTAGTGGAGGTTCTAGAAATTTCTATTTTGCAAAAATTTCCAATTAAATTCCATCGTGTGCGGCAAGGGGGTCAGCGTGGAGAAGTATTCGTTTTCGATAGCTCTACGACGCAAACCTGGGCAGTAGGTTTTGCAACTGAATTGGATTAGCATGTTACGGGCGGTAATCGCGGTTTAATAAGAGTATTTTCCGGGCATCAAATTAGGAAAAAGCTACCATTAAAATTAATATATGACAATATAATATAACATCAAACGTGTCGCGTTCCCGTTCAGCTACTGGATACATGTGTGCATGGGCTCGATAATCAGCAACGACTGGATCCTGACAGCCGGGCATTGCGTGGCTAATGAAAATGCGACTCGAGAAGCGTTAGTTTTCAATTCCACGAAGCATAGCGGAATCCTAAAGTTAATGTTTGTATACAATTCTCATCAACCGGACATAAAAAACTGAATTCTCGTAATAGGATTCGAAATCTGCAAGCGAGAGATAGAATTTCAGGCTCTCCCCAGATCAATTCTGGGTCTTTGCCGGCGCTGACCACTTGACGCCTTATGGAACACCGGATGACGACGTCGTAAGAACGATTTTTATTTCTGTTAAACGTTTAATAACTCTGGAAATTGAGCTTCTTCTAATTTTTGAGACATTCTTCGATGCCCGAGGCTTTTGAAAAATCCGGACCTGCGATTTAAAAACGAGAAAAATGAACCTGAAAATTGAAAATTCCTCATTTTGAGCCCTTCCCAAAATGTTAAAAAGCCGCTTTAGGCAATAATCCAAGTGGGTAGCATCCACCTTCATCCAAACTACTATCGCGATCCAGCAACTGAAGGACACGATAATGATATTGCCTTACTCAAGGTATATTGACTTTCTGGCATTATGCACCTATTTACAAAATTCAAGGTACTTTTAAGCTCAGCAAGCCGCTTGTGTACTCGACGCGCCGGCTCTGGATTAGCATCCCGTACTATTTTCCTGACTGGTTTCACAAGAATTTGACCCTCGAGATTAGCGGCTGGGGGCGCCTCGGTAATAAAAGTGAGGTTCTATCTACAAACCGTAGTTGTCTATCGACCACAAATCTTTCTCTATGCCTTTTCAGGGCCGATTAGCGAAGATCTGCGCAGGTACAGGGCCAAATTCCGCAAGGTTCTATCCCATAATCCCCTGAATACTTGGCTCATTTGCTATTCGGACCCGAGAAGTATCGGCCCATGTCGGGTGGGTATTCAAATTATCCCAGGGTGTCCCAATAAAAAACTCCCCCCTCTAACTTGACGCAGAAGTATCGAATAGAAACCATAGCGACACGATTTTAAAGCCCTTGAAACGGCGAGTTTGTGACTATCTTCAAAAACATCTTTTGTATTTAATTGCGCGATTTTACAAGCCATTATATAAAATGTGCGGTTTTTTGAGGCTGCCTATGAGCTAATTTGCCTTCATTTCTTCAAGCAAAATGACCGGAAGTAGCCGTTGATTACTTGCAGAGGCTGCCCCGAATGTTTTTAAATGCGCTGTAAAATGGTGCATTTAGAAAAATATCGTTTTGGAGAATGCTTGGGCCGATTCGAGGGCTATCGAATGGTGTGACTGTCGTTCCGTTCACATAATTTTGCGTCGAGTTAAAGGCGGTGCTTTTTTAATATATTATTCGCTTCCAGGGAGATTCCGGCGCGGCGGTCGTTACTCAATACGGCGACTCGTGGCTGCAACTTGGTGTGCATACCGAAGGAAGGACCATCTGCGACTACGATGTCTACACGCATGGTAACACTTTATTAAACCTTTCAAATGATGCTGATTCTTACCCTAGCTTTTGGCGTGAACGCTACCGAGAACTGCGGCTTCTACGAGCAGACGATTGGCCGGCCGGTGTGCATTACGCTGTAAGGGGCGTAAAATAATAAATTTGTTGAAGAGAAATGCAAAGTTTTGAAAACAAAACAATTCAGTTTCATTTTCCTCACGCCCAGGTGCCCCAATTTTTACCATAACGCGATTTGTGTGTTGAAAATGCACCAAAGACGACCCCCTAAATATACAAAATTGTTAGGTTTGAAAATACAAGACATGAATTTGCATGTATTCGTCATGCTGAAGCCATAGCAAAAAGGAGCATAAAGAAATTCGGCTTCTGAGAGGGGGCTGGAATTGGACTGGCGCCACCTCGGGATTGGCACGCCGACGCCCTACTCACTGCGCCACAGGGCTCCCAGGCACACGACCCGAGTTCGATTCCACGACATCAAAATAAATCAGCTATAATAAACCGCTAAAAAACTAGCTTGGCTGACCAGCATTTATTTTTATCTATTCAATATCATTCTCAATATAAAGCTCTCATATGCCAGATTTGTTTTATTCATGGACACGGCACATTTTACTGGACAGCCAGAAGCTTTCAAGCCTGGCTTTACGATGCAAACTCACCTCGTAGTTTTTGCCCTGTTTGCTGTAGATTGCGGATTTTCGCAGGAAAAGGTTTGAGTAGTTTTTTTGCGCAAGTTTCGGGATTAGCCTCCCCACAAAAAGGTCGTTGGTGGCACCGTGACGTCGATCGAAACTTATCCCCATGCCGTCGCCTTGCGTGTAATATATAACGGGTAGCCGGACGCGTGTATGGCGTTCGTGTAACCTTCCCTTTAGTTCCTGGGTCCACATTTGTGGTGGTTCGATCATTGCTCCAGAGTGGGTGCTCACTGCCGGACACTGTGTCTACGATGTGGTTAGGCGACAGAAGTAAGCCAAAGCTAGGCCTAAACTATGTCTAAGCTCAGATAAGCCTAAGCTAGGCCTACGCCTCGTAAGCAAATAAGCACAACCTAAGCTTGAAATACAATCTTGCCAGAAAAAGTCCGCTTGGAATCTTCGTCTTCGCCGGCGCACAGCACATGGCAAAGGGCATCGTTGATCCCTCGACCGTAAGATCTAGCATACTACATCAAAATAGCGAAGCGTTAGGTGGTCATCGAACTGGCCAGCATCCATCCACATCCACAAATCTACGAACCTCTCGGAGAAAATGACATCGCGTTGGTCAGGGTGGGTGTTTGCTGCTAGTGATATTATGGAGAAACACCGCAGCCAGGGTGTGGTATCTAGTAAGGATTTCCATTCATTTCGCATAATTTTCATTTAGCATAACGCTATTCCGCATAATTGCATTTCGCATAATTTTTGTTCCGCATAACGGTGATTTCGCATAACGCTTATTCCGCCTAACGATCATTTCGCATAAGGGTCATTTCGCCTAACCGTCATTTCGCATAACGATCATCTCGCATAATTTTCATTTCACCTAACGACCATTTCGCATAATTTTCATTTCGCAAAACGGCCATTTCACATAATTTCCGGCATCAGCAGTCGATGTTATTTATAACTCTTTTTTAGTAATTAGCAATCGATGAAAAACAATCTACCTGCGCGGTTTTTTTGCGCCTTTTCTTGCGGAGTCCCAAGTTGCCAAAATCATGCCCATAGAGACATACGTCTTTTTTTGAAGGGCTTTGCCAAAAATGCTACCTTGTAGATAGTATCCCTGTGTAAACTAGCAAATCTGACCGCAAGACTAGGTCAAAAGCATTACATTAATTACAAATGCGGAATCCGCGTAAATGGTAGCTAGGCATTTCGATTGTATTATACCGTGACTACACTTCAGATCATCAAAAACGCCCTGTTTTGCTCTTGGTTGCCACTAGCTAAAAAATATGCGAAATAAACGTTATGCGAGATCATCGTTAGGTGAAATGAAAATTATGCAAAATGATCGTTATGCGAAATGACGGTTCGGCGAAATGACCGTTATGTGAAATCGCCGTTAGGGAAATAAGCGTATGCGAAATCATCGTTATGAAATCACCGTTATACGGAATAAAATTATGGAAATGCATATGGAAATAGCGTTATGCGAAATGGTAATTATGCAAGATGAAGAAATACCGTAGTAAGATACCACGGTTATCAAAAATTTGAATTCTTAAGTGAATTGTTGTATGCTAATCGATCATCATTTCTTATTTCAGCTTACCAGCCCTATCAAATACACCAAGCAACGTCAGCCGATCACCATCCCGAGCAATTTTGATTGGCGCTACGTGACGAAGCCGCTGGTGATTACTGGATGGGGCAGGACTGGCAAAAACAGTACGGATTCTGATTTTTTTTGTTGTTTCAAGAAAACCTGACCAACGAGGTCAAAATTCTTTTTTTAGAACCGTTCAGCGTGGATCTGTTGTTGTACAAAGCAGACTTGGTTCCGTGGAAGAACTGCGAACCCAACCATGTGATGCCCAAACGCGCCATTTGCTATAAGGGACCAAGAAACGTTGGGCCCTGCGGTGTACGTGATTGCTTTTTAACCGAAAATGCATGCAAATTTTTCCACGTTCCACGGAAAACCGGCGCTGCCCCTTTAACAGTATATTCTAGGGCGATTCGGGCGATCCGGTCGCAACCCAGACCAAGGCAGGCCTGGTGCAACTTGGCGTTCATGGGGGTGGAGAATTCAATTGTGACTATTCCGTGAAACGCACAGGTGCTAATTCCCGCTTTTAACGACCAAGCAAGCTTTTTAGCATATGGCAGCAACGCGACTGCCTACTGTGACTGGTACCATAAAACAACGGGCATGCCGGTGTGCGAGAGCTTGTGAGAACCTTGTGAAAATCAATAAACTTGTTAACGTGTGTTTGCATACTTTGTCGATGTCTACTTTCACCCGTCCCTCGTTATCAATAACATGACAATTTCCTTCAACTGAATTTATGTTTTATAGCGGATGCTTTGTATCATCGTTGAGCAGCCAGACGCAACTTTATGAATTATTCATGCACGAAAACTTCTATTACATCCAAAAAGACGTTCACCATTATTTCATATGCCACCCGGGTTCCTGTTTTCTATATTTTTAGCGCTGCAAACTAGAGTATTAGTGGAGGTTTGAAAGATTTATATCTTGAGAAAATTTCCAATTAAATTCCATCGTGGGCGGTCAGGGGGCCAGCATTGAAAAATATGCGTATTCAGTGGCACTCAAACGCAAAAATGGACGGTAGGTTTTGTAAAATCAAGCCAATATTTTGAAAAAGACCAGAAGTAACAATGTTTACATTTTTTTAACTTTACGGCTTACAAGCTACAAAAGGGATTATACAGCGTTCACAAATGGGCAAAATCGGCCTTTCCGGGAAAATTTTCTCCATGGCCGGGGTAGTTCAGCAATTTTTGAAAGATCGGATCGGCTCTTGAGGTTGCAGCAACTTTGAGCAATTTGGCATCGCAACGCTCCAAAAAAGCCTAAAAAGAAGACTAAAACAGACTCCACGTTAGACTAGATACCGTTACCCTCAAGCCCCCTTTAAGCTACTGGGAACACAACGGGATGGGCTCGATAATAAATGAATATTGGATTCTGACGGCCGGCCATACTGTATCAAGTGAGAACGCCACTCGAGAAGCGTGGGTTTTTCATTTCACGATTTTTACGAACCCCCAAAAAATATTTTCATCGAAAAACTTATTTTAGTCAAAAAACTAACTGAGGACTAGGCCACTGGTTTTCAGAATTCTAAAAATCTGATTTACGATCGCGTCGCCAAATTTCAGGCTCTCCCCAGGTTTATTCTGGGTATTCGCCGGCGCAGAACACTTGACACCTATTGGAACACCGGATCCCGATGTGGTAAAGGGTTTTTGGTCGAAGTTTAGAAAAGTTTAAACGTTGGTTTGGAGGCCAAAAATTTTAAACGCGACATTTCGCTACTAATTTACAAAACAAAATACAGAAACCGAGTATTCCTTTAGGCAATAATCCAAGTGTCCAGCATCCACCTCCATCCCGACTTCTACCGCCATCCAGATGGCAGGGGCTGCGAAAATGACATAGCTTTGCTGAAGGTATATTCACCGCGGATATTGAAATTGAAGAAATACTTGAAGAAAATTTCTCGTGTTCTTGGACTTTGACTTAGGATGCGCTTAAGCTTCGGCTCAGACCTCGCCTAGCTGAGCTTCGTTAGAAAAGCGCCTAGTCCTAGGCCTATCGAAAAATTGAAAGTCGAAAATGCTGACATATAATCAATCCTACTTCTTAAGCTTACCAATTCACTTAACTTCACGACGCGCCGCCTACAGATTCACGTCCCGCACCGTTTCCCCGCCTGGCACCACCCCAATCTTACACTCGAGGTTGCCGGCTGGGGACGACTTGGTAGAAATAGTGAGTTGTTATTTACAAACGTTATTTTGGTACTGATTTGGCAATTTGGTAGTTTGATCAGTAGTTCTTGCCCCTTTCATTTTTCAGAGCCCCCGAGCCAGGATCTGCGCATGTACTATGCCATAGGGCGCCCCATTCAAACATGTATCCCTACTTACCCGCTGACCAGCCCGGCCATTTGCATTTCCGGGAAGAGAAACGTCGGTCCTTGCGAGGTGAGTCCGAAAACCCTGAAAACCCGGTTGAAAGGTAGCTCTTAAGCTTCATAAGGTGCTGTTTTCGACCTTGCTGAAAAGATCTCGTGCTCTATAAAGATAGCTTACTTTGAACCTCGAGAATTTCGAAAAAATCTTAAACTCGCTAAAATTTCAATTCAGGCTGTTTGGCGACAAAATAAACGTATTTGGGATCAGCGCGAAATTCTACACCAGACAAGCGAACTCCCATTTCGAAAAGCCCATTGTTACGTTCAAATTTTGCCCCTCACCTCGCCGGTTTCAGGGCGATTCCGGCGCGGCAGTAGCTACACAATACCACGGCCGGTGGTTGCAACTGGGTGTGTATACAAGAGGACGGTTCGACTGTGACTATTCGGTCCATACAACTGGTATCGGTTTATTATGAGACCTTTTTATGCCGATTTTCCTTTATTAGCCTTCGGCGTCGACGCCACCCAAAACTGTGCCTTCTACGAGCAGACGATTGGCCGCCCGGTGTGCGTCTCGCTGTGAGAGGCGTAAAATAATAAACTTGTTGACAGAGAGAAATGCAAAGTTTTGAAAACGAAAATTCAGTTTAATCTTCCTCATAAGTGAAAAGAAGCGGTGCCCCACCGCTAAAAATACAGATAAAAATTTTATGAATTATTCATTTGCAAAAACTTTTATTAAACCTGATAAAACTTGCCACCATTATTTGAAATGCCGCCCTGGCTGCTGTTTTCTATATTTTTAGCGCTGGTATATAGCGTTCTAGTGGAGGTTTGAAAACTGGGGCCTTGCAAAAATTTCCGATTAAATTCTATCGTGGGCGGCCAGGGGGCCAGCGTCGAGAGATACGCCTTTTCCGTGGCGCTACGGCGCAAGAATGGCAGGTAAGTATTATATTTATGGATTATAAGGGGCTGATTAAAAGGTTTAAAAAGTTGCTCACCCATCACATTTTTGGCGTAAGCCAAGAGTGGGGAATAGAGCAACTTTTTTCCTAGTTTTCGTTGTCACCTTTTAGCAACTGGAAACATGCATGCATGGGCTCGATAATGAACAAAGAATGGATCTTGACGGCCGGCCATTGCGTGTCTAATAAATATGCTCCTCGTGAAGCGTTAGTTTTGAATTCGACGAATTTCGAATCTCTGTTTTTCTTACTTTCTGTCTTTGAATTTCTGTTCCTACAATCACAGGCTGTAAAACGCCGCTGGCCTAGGAAAGGCTTCGGCTTCGGCTTGGACCTAGCGCACACCGAATTTTGGGACATGGTAAACAGGATTACTCGAAACTACTGAAAATTCCTTTTTATTCATTCTTTTTTAAGATTACTAAAAACTCGAAAAATCCTCTCTAATAAGACTTACAGTATCGTAATCGAATTTCAGGCTCTCCCCAAAGACTTTCTGGATTTTTGCCGGCGCTGATCACATGACATCTGATGGATCACCGGATGACGATGTGGCAAGAGATTTTAGTTTTTAAACGGCGGTTTTAGCGGTAATGAAGCTTCACTTTTTATTTCAAGCAATTTTCCAAAAATCCGTTTTTGTAAGCATAGACGTTTAAAAATTCAGATGCTTTCGACTTGCCTTGCAATTGGGAGTTTTTAGGCAATAATCCGATTGGCGAGCATCCATCTACACCCGGATTTCTATCGCGACGTTGCAACCAAAACATTGGATAACGATATCGCGTTATTAAAGGTATATTCATGAAAAGCATGAATTAGCCATTAGAAATTATTTAAAGGTACTTTAGAACTATACCATACTTTGAAGCTCAGCACTAAACTCAGCTACTCGACGCGCAGGCTTCCGATTCAAATCCCGGCCAATTTCCCTGCCTGGCGAAACAAGAATTTGACGCTCGAGATTACCGGCTGGGGAAAACTGGCAATAGATCGTGAGTTTTTGTCTAGCAACGATAATTAAATGGCTGCGGACGGCAGGTGTCGATCCCCCCCCCCATCAACAAATTGGCAAGTAGCCAACAGGGCAGAGAGCGCGCGCTGGGGAGAGGCGCAGAGACATTTTCTTTCCAGCGCGCAACCGATTGATTATGCCGTCGGCATCCCTTTAAACCTCTATTTATTGCAATTTCTGGATTATCTATTACTTTCCAGAGCCGCCGAGCGTCGATCTGCGCATGTACAAGGCCAGATTGCGCAAAATTCGAACCTACAACCCTGAAGATACTTGGACCATTGGCTATTCGGGTCCGCAAGACGTCGGCCCATGTCGGGTGAGTCTTCAAAATTTAGCAGACTAAGCCTAAGCCTAAGCCTAAGCCTAAGCCTAAGCCTAAGCCAAAGCCTAAGCCTAAGCCTAAGCCTAAGCCTAAGCCTAAGCCTAAGCCTAAGTCGAAGTCTAGGCCTAAGCCTAAGCCTAAACCTAAGCCCAAGCCTCAGCCTAAGCTTAAGCCGCAGCCAAGTGTAATTCTAAGCATAAGCCTAAACTACCACTTCAGGGAGATTCCGGCTCGGCAGTGGCTACACAATACCACGGTCGATGGCTGCAGCTGGGCGTGCACACTAGAGGGGAGACTCTCTGTGATTATTCATCCCGCACCCATGGTAACACCTTTTGAGGCTTACCATATAATTTTTTAACCTACCCTTTGGGGTGAACGCCACCGAAAACTGCGGCTTCTACGAGCAGACGATCGGCAAGCCGGTGTGCATCCCGCTGTGAACTGTGAAATAATAAATTTTATTAGGGCAAATCGCAAGTGTTTATACAATACATTAGCTAATAAGATGTGCATAGTTGAAAATAGCACGGATGAAAAATGTCTAAAATTTGAATCTGAAAGCATATTGAGAAGTGCTACCTTGGCATAACTTTACGTTACTCGGTACAAATTCTCGATTCCGAACAGCTCTTTCAGCTCTTCGTGTCTATCTTTATATTTTCCCCAGTTTTTATTAAATTCCGTCTAGCAGACACAATTCTATGAAATATTCATGCCAAAAAAGCGTTATTAAATCCATAAAACCTTGCCATCATTATTTCAAATGCCGCCCTGGCTCCTATTTTTTACATTTTTAGCGCCCCAATATGTTGTTGTAGTCGAGGTATGCATTTTCTATCTTGTAACGTTTCCAATTAAATTCCATCGTCGGTGGCAAAGGCGTCAGCGTTGAGAGATATGCATTTGCCGTAGCTATACGACGCAGTACCGGGCAGTAGGTTTTTTTTGGAAGGGAATCCGATTAGACGTGGCGTAAATAAAATTAAAAATACTTTGAAGAAAAGAGAAGAAGTCTATAACTAACAGCCTAAGCCTAAACCTTAGCTTAAGCTTAAACCGAAGCATAGCCTAAGCCTAAGCCTAAGCCCAAGCCTACGCTTAAGCCTAACCCTAATTTATGAATTCCGATGACACTCCCGAAAATGGGATCCCCGAAAATTGGTTTCCCGAAAGTCGGAATCCCGAAAATCGGAGTCCCGAAAAATCTGAGTCCCGAAAATCTGAGTCCCAAAAAATCTGACTCCCGAAAATCGGAGTCCCGAAAACTCCGACTCCCGAAAATCTAAGTCCCGAAAATACCCGCAGTGATTTGGGTTTTTTTTGGGGGCCGGAAGCCTAAAAACCAGTAGCCAAATTTTCGAGATTCAGATTTTCGGGAGTCAGATTTTTCGGGACTCAGATTTTCGGGACTCAGTTTTCGGGAGTCAGATTTTTCGGGACTCAGATTTTTCGGGACTCCGATTTTCGGGGCTCCGAGTTTCGGGAAACCAATTTTCGGGAATCGGATTTTCGGAAGTATAAGCGAACCCCCTAATCTATGCCTAAGCCTAAGCCGTAATCTTGGCTCTTTCAGCTACTGGAAACATGTGTGTATGGGCTCGATAATGAACGAAGACTGGATCCTGACGGCCGCACATTGCGTGTCGAATCCAAATAGGACCCGAAAAGCGTTAGTTTGCGGTTGCCGAAATTTTGTGATTGATCTGTTCGAAACCATCTGGCTGGGAAACGCCTTATCCGAAAAACACTCGCTCGTAAATTTTCTTCAAACTATCCGAAGGGAGAAGCGTCCAAAGATATTCATTTGCTGTAAAGCTGGTGATTTTCCTATGTTTACTCCAAATGCAAATTCTGCGACCAAATCCTTTTCCGGCCGAGTGATTTTCGAAGGATGGTTGATGGGATTTCAGTCTGCCCGCAAGAAGGTTCTGGATTTTCGCCGGCGCCGATCTCATGACACCTTATGGATCGCCGGATGACGATGTGGTAAAAACACGGTTTCTACAAATACCGAGTGCCTCCAAAAAATATTCTCCGTCTGAACAACAGCCAAAGTACCAAATTGTAGAAATAAATAGCATGATCAGAAAAAAGGCATCAACGGGATAACGACGGCATAGGTAATCGGTGACGCGAGGGAAAGAAAATGGCTCTGCGTCTCGCCCTTGGGCCCGTTCTCTGCCCTGTTGGCTATTTGTCAAAAAATTTAAGTCCACCTCCCAAGGGGGTGAAGAAAATGATGCCGTCCTTATCCCTTTAAACTTGGCCACAAGAATGTTGAACTTCATCGTTATATTTTCCAAAGCTACGGCGTGGGTTGGCGGCCCAAATTCAACAGTTAAGGGCTATTCATTTAGCAAAAACTTCAACCGAAATTCGAGTATTCCTTTAGGCAATAATCCAAGTGGCCAGCATTCACCTGCATCCCGGCTTCTACCGCGAACCAAAGGGCCAGGGCAGCGTTAACGATATCGCATTGCTGAAGGTATATTCCCTGAGGAGTCTCATTAAGACTTTGTCAATATTTTTTGATGCTCTATCGAATTGCGCGCATGCCGATAGCGAATTTTATACGTACCTTTTTAAGCTCAGCAGGTCGCTTGAATTCACGATGCGCCGGCAAAAGATTCGCATCCCCGACTACTTCCCCGGCTGGGGCCACCCCGGTCTAACCCTCGATATTGCCGGCTGGGGAAAACTAGCCCATAATAGTGAGTGTACAACTTTCTACAATATGTGCATTTTTTCGTAATTAGCGTGCCAATTTTGCCTGAGTTGCCCAAATATGGTCAGCTTCGGCCATGTGTCTGACGTTTTTTTGCAATAAAAAGTAGTCAATGATCCCGTTAGAAAAGACACTTATTTAAATTAAAAAAATCCGATAAAGACATTATTTTTTCAGAGCTCGTCAGCGAGGATCTGCGCATGTACCAGGCCAAGGACCTTCCATTTCGCGCTTGTTTCTTTAACTTGGCAAAGAATGTCACGGGCATTTGCTATGAGGGGCCGACAAACGTTGGCCCATGTCTGGTGTGTCGTAAAATCCAGACAGCACGCTTCTGAGTGTAATTTATGTATTTTCGTGAGCCTTTATACACAAATCTCGTGCGGCAGCTTGTGTGCAATTTACGGTGCTACCGTGTATTCAAATACTAAAATAGAGTCGATCGCCTAGAAAAACAATAAACAACTTCGGACAAAAGCCTAAGCCTAAGCCTAAGCCTAAGCCTAAGCCTAAGCCTAAGCCTAAGCCTAAACCTAAGCCTAAG